GGCTGTTAACCTATTGAGGAACGCCTGTGTTGTTGATGGCAAATGCCGAAGTGAGTTGATTAAAGTTACCAAAGTTGTCCTACTTGTCCTTCTCAAGTACTCTACTCCCCTCTTCTCCTTCTTGTTGTCCTCTTGTGTCTGCTTGTGCAATCACCGCTTGCTGCACAGTCGAACCAACCAAGTTGACCATCCCGAAGATTACCCAATAGGAAGCGTTCCAGGACGGTTCAGGGTGAACCGTGCCAACGGTTCAGGTACGGTACGGAACCGTACTTAGCGGTGCACTTCAACCCCCCCCCCATTCCGACAAAGGAATATAGTCTCATGGGGATTCGCTGTGTCAGATCGTCGTTCGCATCAATAATATGCTTGAAAATATGCTGTGATCCTTGGAAGGTTCAGCGAGGAATTCGTAAAGGTATGAACCAGTATCGGCGCTGATCTTAAACGTCATCACCTTATTGATGGCACAACGGAGGTTGTTTGTGGAAACAACCAAGGGGCGGAAATGTTGTGGAAGCCGTGATTGTAGCGGGAGCTTTCTTGACTCGAGAGTTTAGGAAAGCCAAATTATCCTCCGATACACGTCCCCAGCGGAGATCAGCCAAGATTCGAGCATACAAGTCGTCGTCATGGGCTCTCATATTTTCCGTAAGGAAGACGACAAAATTAATAGTGTTGTATAAGTTGAAACCTGCGTGATGGTATCTGCTAGCGGTTTCATCGGGCGACGAATACAATGTGGGACGATGAAAACTGCTCCAACGGAGGGGTGTGTGGTAATCGATTCGAGCGCTTATATCCTCTCATACTGGTGGCTTCCGTTTGTGGTACAGGCGTTGCCGCTAGTGTAAGGGTTCCTCTTGACGCATTCGTCATTGAGTATGTTGGGGATCTCGTAGATGAAGCTGAAAAGCGGCGTCGAAACTACACTACACAATGCAGATACGCGAGCCTACAACGGACCACCGAGTATTTTACATTGATACTACGGCCTGCGGCAACGAAAGCAGATTCGTGAACCACTCTTGCTCCCCCAATTGCGCGTTTTTTAGTTTCGTTGTGGGAACGCTACGCGAGTCGGCATATTCACCCTCCAGGACATTGAGCCACTACAGGAACTGTCGGTCGACTATCGAGCCGCTGCCAAGAATAACCAGCTATGGTTCCGATGCCGGTGCGGATCACCGCGCTGTGTCGCGCGTATGACGCCTCGTCGCTCGCCTCCGCTGCCTCCACGCGCCAGCCCTACCACGACCAACCATACCTTGAAGCCGAAGCACCCAAAACCGTACCGCCGTCTGCACATTACAGACTGCTTCACCAAAAAGGCTAGGTATAACTATAGTACCTCAGGTACTCAGTGTCCGTCTCGGGACTCTGGTAGTTCGTGTACTCCATACCCGTCTCGGGGCTCTAGTACTACAGGTAGATGGTGTCCGCCTCGGGACTCAAGTAGTTCGTGTACTCCATCTTCGTCGCGACCAACAGCGCGGCGGCGCTTACATGTAGTTTGAGGTGGCAGCGCTGCCAGCGCGGGAGGTCGCTCTGTAGTGTGGCGAGATGGTCCAGTTGGTGGCTGCGCGAACCGCTACGAAGGCTGCACAGCGTCGGCACTGTACTGCACTGCGCCGCGTCGTAGGTCGTCGGCACTGCACTGCGCCACGGTCCATGGGCACGCTGATGTTGTGCGATGGCTGGATGAAAATATCGCGGTGGGCAACCGACGCCGCACCTTTGCGTCTGCTGTGCGCTTCCTAAACCAAGTAGTAAAATAGGAGCATCAACTTTGCCAGCGCGCCACAGGAGGCCACAAGATGAGCAGGCCACAACAATGTTGGGGTGGTCTGGGGGTCGCTTGCGCGTGAAAGAAGCCGATTTAAACTATCGCTCCTGACATGCACTCCCATGAGGCGACCATCACTCCTCATCTCTAAATCTAGACCTCGGTGGTCATCGAGGCTGGTACCCTCTCGCCGTGAGGGTGCCGAATACAAATACGTAAATAAAACGCCAGTAGCGTCGGCCACGCTTAAAGTTGAGCGGCATTGCTTAAACGGGGTTTCAGATTTTTAAATTAGGGTCATATATTTATAGAGGTCTTTTTAGCAAACAGCCGCTGGAATACTGAAACTGAGTTTAACTGCAAATAGTTTAAAACTTCACTCTAAATATAAAAAGAAGGAGGTCGCGTTGCATCAGCGACTGTTATGCTCTTAGCTTACGCTAAGGGAACAGTTTAAATCGGCTTCTTTCACGCGCAAGCGACCCCCAGACCACCCCAACATTGTTGTGGCCTGCTCATCTTGTGGCCTCCTGTGGCGCGCTGGCAAAGTTGATGCTCCTATTTTACTACTTGGTTTAGGAAGCGCACAGCAGACGCAAAGGTGCGGCGTCGGTTGCCCACCGCGATATTTTCATCCAGCCATCGCACAACATCAGCGTGCCCATGGACCGTGGCGCAGTGCAGTGCCGACGACCTACGACGCGGCGCAGTGCAGTACAGTGCCGACGCTGTGCAGCCTTCGTAGCGGTTCGCGCAGCCACCAACTGGACCATCTCGCCACACTACAGAGCGACCTCCCGCGCTGGCAGCGCTGCCACCTCAAACTACATGTAAGCGCCGCCGCGCTGTTGGTCGCGACGAAGATGGAGTACACGAACTACTTGAGTCCCGAGGCGGACACCATCTACCTGTAGTACTAGAGCCCCGAGACGGGTATGGAGTACACGAACTACCAGAGTCCCGAGACGGACACTGAGTACCTGAGGTACTATAGTTATACCTAGCCTTTTTGGTGAAGCAGTCTGTAATGTGCAGACGGCGGTACGGTTTTGGGTGCTTCGGCTTCAAGGTATGGTTGGTCGTGGTAGGGCTGGCGCGTGGAGGCAGCGGAGGCGAGCGACGAGGCGTCATACGCGCGACACAGCGCGGTGATCCGCACCGGCATCGGAACCATAGCTGGTTATTCTTGGCAGCGGCTCGATAGTCGACCGACAGTTCCTGTAGTGGCTCAATGTCCTGGAGGGTGAATATGCCGACTCGCGTAGCGTTCCCACAACGAAACTAAAAAACGCGCAGTTGGGGGAGCAAGAGTGGTTCACGAATCTGCTTTCGTTGCCGCAGGCCGTAGCATCAATGTAAAATACTCGGTGGTCCGTTGTAGGCTCGCGTATCTGCATTGTGTAGTGTAGTTTCGACGCCGCTTTTCAGCTTCATCTACGAGATCCCCAACATACTCAATGACGAATGCGTCACGAGGAATCCTTACACTAGCGGCAACGCCTGTACCACAAACGAAAGCCACCAGTATGAGAGGATACAAGCGCTCGAATCGATTACCACACACACCCTCCGTTGGAGCAGTTTTCATCGTCGCACATAGTATCCGTCGCCCGATTGATTCATGATCGCTCACCTTCGCTGACACACACACCATAATTGCAACTGCACTTCTTGAAGTGAGGGTAAGAAAACCGCGGTACAGCTCCTCTCGACCCTTTGAATACATTGCCACAGATGATCTCAACACTGATTGACCATGCTTCCTGGAGGACAAAATCCGTCGTTGCACCAATTACTGTTGGCCACGGAGGGTCCATGGCACTACTTGTATTCGCAACCTCACTAAACCTGTCGGAATCAAACAACAGGGATCCTAGTTAAAACGCCTTGGAGATGAGTAAGGTGGCGGCGAACCACTATACACTCACAAACAGCCGAGTCCTCTGCTAGATCAAGTCCCAGTACAGGTTTGGGCACTTGTGAGGACAGTGGACAGCTTGAAACACGATGTGGGAAGCCCCCGAACAATTGTGTCAAAGGTGAGCATGCTCCGCGATCCGTAGGGGCGTAGATAAGGTTGGCCGTGGATACGTAGCCATACCGGCAACCCGAAGCCTGGCGCCCGCTTGGGTAACTCAGATTGCGCTGCAATATCTGAAGCCCCGCGACGTGGACATGTATTTCTCTGCCCAGCTTGCGCAGCTTCGTATCAACATCTTCTGTGAAAGGCCGGAAGATGCACAGCCAAACAACAACAAAAAATCTCGCACAATCGCACATAGCAATCTACCTCCTGATTCTTCTCCTGAGACGCGTGGGCACCGCATCCTTGTCTCGATGCTGTACTCAATCACGAATGCGCAAGAGGTTGCAGCATCAATGACAGCCTTATATCTTCTTCGCAAGTCTCCATTCTGGTTTTCCCACGAGGTTGTGCATGTCGACATAACTAAGTTGCTGGGGACTGTCGATTCTACGTAAGAAGTGACCATTTCTCCGGAATCTATTCTAGCTGGACATCAACCAGAGGTTCGGGCTGCTAGCAGTGCGCTTGTTAACTACTGGAAGCGGCAGGGAGATTTGGAATTTTCCGACTCGTTTAAGCAAGTTCCACGAGTGTTTTGAGCCGGTTCCCTGGCAAGACCCGTGCGGTCTTGAAAACGATGCATCGGCTGACTTACCAGACTTTCCGTCTATTGCTGACGTATCGCTTTCATTTCGCCTCAATCTTTGGCAGCACGTCATGTTCGGGACGCTAGCTAGACACCTTCTGTATTCTTATTTGAAGGACGTTGAAGATGCCCAGCAAACTACTAACGCCTCTTGTCTGCGGCAGCCGTATCGACTACAAAACCAATTCGTAGGGTTTTTGGGAGGTGAAGCCGGAACCGGTAAATCTACTGTTATCCATGCTGTTCTAGCGTTTGCCGACAAGTGGGGGCGATCAGGAACGAAGTCTTCCATTTTTACAGATGAAGTCGGAATTCGGAAAAGTTGTACTCGTTATTGTAGACGAGATATCAATGACAGACCAGGCACTTCTAGGTAGCTTTGATCTCGCATCTCGAGCTATGAGCAGGGATCCCGAGTATTGTATTTTTGACTGATAAGATTCGAACGCACACATGAATTATTTAGTAGTGGAAGCGTGAAGCAGACGTAAATTATTGCAATATTCAGCAGTAGAAAAGCAATAGCGCCTGTAATAACTACTCTAGCAGCAGTCGTTGACAGCGTTCGCGTCCCACAACGCGTTGTTCACACGAAGAACAAAATCATCTCCAGTGTTGCCGGCTGGAGGCGGTGCCGTTGCAGTCTGAGGGTGGCCTCAGCCACACTAAAGAAACGCTCCACTGTGTTCGAGGTGGGCGGAATCGCCTGCAGCAGCATGTAGGCCGTCCTTGGGGCCGTCGTCTTGCGTCTTTTCTTGACTTGCTCGACAAACGACCCCGTAGCATCGTCAGCAACAGCGGCCGGCTGTCCAGCGGTCTCCCGGATGACGAAGCGACTGAGCGCCGTCTTCTCCGACCGTGTCAGCTCGTCCACTTCGTCGCGCTGGACCTTGACCCAACCAGCCTCAAAGTGAGGGCTATGCACAATTGCAGCACGAGGGCCTATATATTACCAGTGCAATAACATATTGAGTCAGTATATGATAACACCCAGTGTAGAAGCAATAAATCTTACCGAGATACGTAGCGAAGCCTGGCCACAGCGCTATGAGTGCGTCGAAATAGCAACGGACGTCGGCGATCGAGACCGACTCCGACTGCAGCTCCTTTCTCACCGACTCGATCTTCTTCAGGTCTCGGCCAAATCGTCGTCGTCCTGAATGAACTCCAGCCGTTTCACATAGCGGTTAACCATGCAAAACGTAGAGCTCCAGCGCGTCGCCTGGCTCAATACCCGACGCAATTTCGTCTTGAACCTATTGCAAATACTAAAAACAATTTTTGTCAGATTCACTATAAGTTAATATGATTGGCTGAAAAATGTACCGCAGCTTCGCTGATTGGTTTAAATCCTTCAACTTGATCATCAGTTTCTTGACTTGGTCGAGCTCATCCTTGAAATCTTCTAGCAGGTTTTGGGCCACTAAATTCAGGCGATGACTGGCGTAGCCCACGAGTGGCACACCAAGCAAGGTGGCGAGGCGCCTATTGGTGTCGCCAACCAGGTAGAGACAGTTTTCAAGGGTCTTACCATAGTCTCGGGCCAACATGGTCCGAAGAAACTCAACATGACCTTCCGCAGAGAGGTTTTGGCCAGGCTCTTGGACCAGCGGCGCCATGGCTATCAGTTGGCATCGCGGCTGGCCGCCCAGCTCGTAGCACACGAACACCGCCAAGTAGTGCTCCGAGTTGTGCGACCAGTCGTCCAGCTTCATCCCAAAGTGCCCCGGGAGCTCCCGCCGCATGCTTGCCTTCACGTGCTGCACCAGCCGGACCATTCCATCCAGGAGCTGCTCCTCTCCAATGGGGTCGAGGTTCGAGTACCTGCGGTAGGACATTGTCCACACAAGAGATTAGAATACTATCATTAAATACCCCTTGGAATAGCATAATTTACCTTTTAGTTTCAGGATTTGCGCAGAAATGCAGTGGTAGACCACACATCACCGTCCAGCGCAGCCAACCGAACAGGTTTAAACTGCGCTGGCGGATCCACGGCACGAGCGACCCCGTCTCTGCGGGCGCTGCGGGGCGCATGAATTCTTCGAAGTCGGGGTGCTGGCTGCGAACGTGCGACACGAGGTTACTGTACCCCGTTCGCGGGGCTTGCTGGCGCACGCAAGAGCACCGGCACCGGAAGTACCCGGCCACATGCTCGTCCTGGGCGTCCAGCACTTGCTGGAAGTAGAAAGTGGCGACTTGTCGGTTGGTGTACATCTTCGGGGCGTAGCAAAACTAGCCAAGAGCTGACGAATGGACCAGAGTAAATTATAACTTTTCAGAAAATCAATATCGGCTCTGGGAAACCTACATAAATTATTGAGGGACATTCCAGCATCTGTGATAATCAAATATTTCAGTATATTTACGGCAATTATTTTTCATGCAATTAATTTATCGGGATCCCTGGCTATGAGTGATAATCCTCAAAAGCTCGTTGGTGGCAAACACGTGCTACTTTGTGGAGATTGGCTGCAACTGCCTGCTGTTCGAGGCACCCCATGTAAGTTCAAACTCCTTCAACACATCTTCACCTTCTCCTTCCTCATCTTACTTATTTTTCTGCGTTATGTAGGCTTCACGCCACCCGATGAAACCGCTAGCAGATACCATCACGCAGGTTTCAACTTATACAACACTATTAATTTTGTCGTCTTCCTCACGGAAAATATGAGAGCCCATGACGACGACTTGTATGCTCGAATCTTGGCTGATCTCCGCTGGGGACGTGTATCGGAGGATAGTTTGGCTTCCCTAAACGCTCGAGTCAAGAAAGCTCCCGCTACAATCACGGCTTCCACAACATTTCCGCCCCTTGGTTGTTTCCACAAACAACCTCCGTTGTGCCATCAATAAGGTGATGACGTTTAAGATCAGCGCCGATACTGGTTCATACCTTTACGAATTCCTCGCTGAACCTTCCAAGATATCACAGCATATTTTCAAGCATATTATTGATGCGAACGACGATCTGACACAGCGAATCCCCATGAGACTATATTCCTTTGTCGGAATACCTGTTATGATCACCAGGAAACCTCCTGAGCTTAAGAACATGGGTGTTGTCGCCAAGGGTACGCTTGGCACCGTCATTGGCTTCTATCCTCCCATCGAGTCTCGATCATGTGTTGACGTCGAATCCGATGAACCCACGGTAATTCAACTGGCTTCCCCACCCGAACTGCTTTTGATATGCCTGCACGACTGCAATACAGTTCTCGTAGATGGTTTGCCAGGCATAATTGGTGTACCTCGAATCTCCTCCAACATCAAGTTTAATAATATGCCAAACTTGGCTCAAGCTTCTATCACCATCAAGCAATTTCCTGTGGTTCCAGCATTTGCTTGTACTACAGAAAAACTCCAGGGGAAAACTTGCCCCGATGGCGTCGTTGTCACCCCGCTTCACAGATCAGGTGGCGTGCCTACACCGTCACTGTATGTGGCTCTCTCGAGAACGAAGACCCTTGATACCCTTACACTGACGAACAAGCTCACTTACGACCGCATCGCAAGATTTAAGCCAGATCTCGAATCAGCAGAGGAGATGAAGCGACTCATATCCTTCATCATTGAACCGCCGTATTCGACATCCCTACAACACGCACAGTTCCGCGACTGGAAATCCCTGCAAGATTGACTGATACCATAGGCGCCAACCGTTAATAGCTGCTACAGCCCATTGATTGTTTTCATTATGTTCTGTTTTTCTGGGGGTTTTCTTCAGCTACGCTAAGAGACATTGCGCGCACGGCGCGACTCAGTAAGTCCATGCATGGGTGCTGAACAGGAGTGACTGTCAACTTCAATTTGCCCTTATACAGGACCGCCCTCTATTCAAGGTGACAAATTGACAAACGTGTCAAAAACGAGAGGTCCACGAAGGTCCCGATCGATGTTGGCAGCGCGGCGCGTCAGTGCCGGCGCGTGAGCCCCGCGCGGCCCATGGCCGGCGAACTCCAAGCTGCCGTTCCACTCCAAGTCCCTGCCCTGCTCGTCCGCTCTGATGGCCGCTACAGATGGGCGTCTTCATCTCGTTTGGGCGTCTCAAACAAGTCTCCTGCATGATCCCGTCGCCTCCCGTTGATTCTTCGCAGCTGCCGGGATCCCAGCCCCCCGTTATGACAAAGGAGGAGATTGCAAGTCCAACGACTACAAAACGATATTGGAATGCGCCCCAGATGACGCGGACCTGGCCCGAGTGGTTTTCAAGGACATCCAGGACGACGGCGGCGCGACTTTGACCAGGTTCTTAGCTACAAACATCGCCTCCGCTCTGCTAAAGGGCGGGTCGTTGGGGGAGAGCGTGGAGGTGCTCGAGCTTGCATGGGACAGAGGGGTGCAGGTGCACCCCAATGTCTACGGATCGGTATTCGGTATTTGCGCGCGAGAGAGGGAGTACGATTGCGTTCTGCGTGCGTGGGACGCTAAGGCGGCTAGCGACTATGAACGTATGCCGTGGGAGTACACGTCTGCGCTTTTGGCGGCTGTCCACTTGAAGAAAAACGAGCGCGTGTTTGGGATGCTCGATGAAGTGAAAGCCAATCAAGTGACAGATGACAAGATGTACGAGCTTGTTCTAGGAGCCGCGTGCCAAACCAAACAGCACGAGCTTGTCTGTGGGATTTTGGACTGCATGCATGCGAACGGCGTCGACTCTACTATCGGGTACCGAAATACCATCCGACTGGCCTTCAAGTTGGGCGAGTATGATTTCATTCTCGAGCTTTTGCGTCTGATGAAAGAGCACGACATCGACCCGACGGGAGCTTACAAGCATCAAATCATGTCACTGGATAATGCAGGTTTGCATCGTCAAGTCCTGGATGCTTTCGAGGCTTTGCGAAAGGAGGGGTGTATCTGCGATGAAAATACGTACGGAGCTGTCGTGACTTCAGCTGTCCAAGGGAAGGACCGTGAACTGGCACTTTCAATTCTAGATGACATGGAAGAGAACACAAATTTGTCGATGGCGATAACCGAGGTTTTTCCTCGCGCTGTGAGAGCGGCCATTTGCACAAACCAGCATCGGCTGGTATCGGACATCTTCGACTTCATGGGTGAAGCTGGCGTGAATGTACCTGAGGGCGTATACGTTTCTGCCATCAGAACCGCCTTCAAGTCGAAGCAATACGATTTTGTAATGGACATCCTGCGTAAGATGAATGGGAGTGGAGTGAGTACGGTGGATGTGAACGAGGCGTACACCCACGTAGTGATGTCATTCAGCAAGGCCGAATGTTATGACCACGTTCTGCGTGCCTTCAAGGCAATGCGCGAACTTGGCTACGAGCAAGACGACGTTCATTGTACGACAGCCTTGCGAGCAGCTATCAAACTGAACAGAGACGATGACGTAGTTGCGATCTGCAATGGGCTGGGTGGCACCGCATTCAGACGCTTATACTCGATCGCGTTAAAGTTGGCTCGCGCAGCGAACAAGCAAGCCCTGGTCAACAGCATTTTGGATCACATAAAGCAGTCCAGCACTGGCGTCAGGAAATCCATTCCGGAAGACCTCACCACCTCTGCGAAGAAGCCAGCTATAGCTACGAAGAAGCCCGTCGTAGCTGCGAAAAAGCGCAGTACCGCGGCGAAGAAGCCCACCACTGCTGAATCGTCATCAGATGACACAGGAGCCGTTCCTGCACTTCTGGCGGAGTGCTTGGAGAAAATATCTAACACAGTTGACGCTCACAGCATGGCACTGCAAGGGGCTGACGCGTCCGAGGACACGCAGGCGACGGTGCCCGAAATTATGAATCACTTGCTGAAAGTCGCTGAGGACCCTAGCGCTGTTTATTGGATTATACTACGAAATGCCACGAGCGCAAAACGGCACGGACTGGTAATGGCCATCACAGATCATGCTACCAAAAACGGTGTGAAGTTGCGGAGAAACACGCGCGAGATCATTCTCGAGAGCTACGTGCGTTTGAACGACCTGGGAATCGCGCTTGATGCGAGCAGAATGCTGATCAGGGCTGGAATTGCCACGGCTGAAGACACAGTCTTCCCTTTAATCAAGTGTGCAGCCAAGCGGGATGAGTGGGATATCGTCATCGACATCATGACGAATCTCCAGAGCGAAGGCATGAAGCCTTCTTTAGCCATTTACACAATGGCTTTAGGTGAATGCCTGAAGCGCGGTCACTTGGACAGGGCGGTGGACATCTACAATGCGATGACCGAGTCTCTTCGAGCCCAATTATCGGACACAAGCTTGCTTGTAGTGATTCGCAGTCATGCGCGTTCTGAGAGCAAGGAGCTGCAGCTGCGCGCCATGGATATAGTCGATGACTTTCGACACACGCTTTCGCCGCAACAGTACAAGGCTATGCAGGAGAAAGTGCGCACTATTCAAGAAGAGGTAGCTGGGAAAGCGTCTGTCACGCTGGAGGCCACTGTGAAGCCTGCTGATGAATCAACTGCGGAGGGCACTTCCAGCAAGGGGATCATGGGGTATTTTCTGTCGCTCTTCAAGTGCTAGTAGCCCAGCTCTCCGTGCATTATGGTGGAAAACCCCTACTAAAGTACTTCGAAGTAAGTGGAAATAAAATTGCTGGTTTCTGATGACTCGCTTACTGCCATTCGAGAATTCTAGCAAAATGAACCACGTATATTCGTATCACAAGGCGAAAGGGAGAGCTATAGTATGCAACAAACGGGAGCGTATTGCTTCTGGTGGTTCATGAACCGGGATCCTGAAAAATAAATCTTCAACTCAATATATTTATATTTTTGGTTGCAATAACTTATTTTGCGATCTCCCGGAAGAAACCCCAATAGTTATTTTTGCTTGGTGCCCAAACACTTGCTTTAAGTATGGAGGTATGTCCCAAATATCAAGTAAAATAATTGATTTTTTGAAGTTGGTAAATGTCAAAAATTACGTATTTCAGCTAAACAACAATAATCAATATAAAGTGTATTTTCGGGATCCCTGTTCATGAGAGGCAAGCGCCAGCAGTATGTTGTTCCGAACGCCAAAGTCGCTACACTTCTGCCACGGTTCATGTCGAAGTGATCTTTTGTGTACTCATTCATACTACAAAACCTTTTCGGGTTGTAGTATGGCCCAGGTCATTCGCCGTCGGTTGGGCAACCCAGCTGCGAGCCCCACGTGGCATCATGACATGATGCCATGTGGGGCTCGCAGCTCGTGACATTGTCACCATTGTCAGCTTCAATAGTGGTAGTCAATTACACAGCAACAAGGATTTTTTTCTCGCAGCAAGATGGAAATATTTTTTAGGGCTCTGATTGGTCAGAATAATTTTCGCCTTCCTGCGCCAAAAGTCGCACAGATCGGCCTCACAGCAAGAAGATTTTTTTTCGTGGAAGCAAGGTTTGGCGGACCGCAATCGTGGACGGCTGACACACGGAGCGCGTTCACGCCTACGGGTGTTCACCGTACGCATGCGTCTACACCTGTCTACCCATACGCCTTGCCACGACCACGCGCGGCTCTTGCTTGGCCAGAGCTTCTCGTGCGAGCTCAACAGCCACGGCAAGTGCATGCAGATGGAGTCGTGCCTCGTGTTATCAAACCTGACCAGCAAGCTGCTGGGGAGCGGCGTCCACGGGGTCATGTGTGGCACAGTGGGGATTGGACTCAGGTTCGTGTGCGAGTCGCTGACTGTGGAGCTCATCGGCATCTAATTTGCATTTGCAGGTGTAGCTTGACAAGAAGCCAGCATTCCTTCAACCTTCATCCATGTCACCCATCTCACCCGACTGCATCTGGGTTCAACGGACTTTTTGGCGACACGAACTTCTTTGGGTTCAAGAGGAGCTAGGGTGCGCACGCCAGGATTCTATATCTTTGTAGCTAGCGAGCAGGAGCAAGAGAACGCTAGCGCTAACCTCAATCAGTTTTTCATTTTCCCTTGAAGGACTCACACGCGGCTTGGCACTTTGAGTCGACTCAAATCAACAGCGACCTGGCCCACCCGTCGCGCCAACCCGTCACCAAGAATCGCTCCGCGCTGAAGGACGACAAGGAGCGCTATCTGACCTACTCCATCACGGTGCGCGCCGCCAACAAGGAGAAGGGGATAGAAGAAGAGGTCGTCACGAAAAAGTTCATCGACGGCGGCCCAAAGGATTTCCTCGAGTGGGTGTACCACTTCGACCAACTTGCCAGTCTCAAGCGCTGGAACGCTGCGGACAAATTCCTGAACGCAACAATCCTGCTAGAGGGCGACCTGCGAGAGGCCTTCGCAGATGCCGCCATATCGGACGAGGACGTGCGCATGGACGAGGAGTTTACGCGCGTACTGCACAAGGCGTCTATCGTGGTCTTACCGGTAGACTACAGCGAGAAGCTGCAGGAAGAGCTTTGGGAGATAAGGAAAGCTCGCACCTAGTCGCTGTCCGACTACAGCAAACGCTTCCGTGCTCTGGTCCGCAACGAGCACACTCTCGCCAAGCTGAGCGAGAATTCACCCATGTGTGAAGACGCCCTGTGTGGGCCTGTACAAGCGTGGCCTGCCGTACGACTGGCAGAACAAGTAAGACGCCAGCGGACAAGTCTACTCAACCGTGGCGGCGCTGGTGCCGTTCTTCGAGAGAATCGAGCAGGGTGAGCAGCGCATGCATCGCTCGGGTGCATTTGAGAAGCGCAACAACAATCACGACAACAATCGCAACCACGGTCGTCGCGGAAGTTCCTGCGGCTGTGGCAGCAACCGTCAGCAACAAGGCAGAGGAGGAAACTGCGGCCGAGGCGGTGGCTACAACAACAGCAGCACCGGAAGCAGTAACAGCAACTCTGGCACGAGCAGCAACAAGTATTGCAGTTTCCATAGGACCAACACCCACAACACCCAAGACTGCCGCGCGCTACGCCACGACAGCCAACAACAAGAACATCAGCAAGTGGACCACGATGTGAGAAGACAGGGTGCTCAATATGGCCGTGGACGTGGATCCGGCGGTCGTCGCCAGCCGCAGACGCGCGTGGAGCAGCGCAGCCAGCACACCGGCAGCTCCAGTGATGAGGAGTACATGTTCTTGGGGCTCAACAATCCGCCGACGGCGGCTCCACCCCCATGGGGATTATGATCAAGCTCGAGCATGACAAAGACCGGTATCACGCTCTACTCGACAGCGGAAGCTCGCGTTCAATTATTCGGACTGATTTCATGCGCGCGCTTAAAGAGCGAGGCAACACGCTCGGCGCGTCGCGGATCTCCTTCACACTGGCCAAGGGGAGCACGTCAAGCGAAGGAACCATGACAGTCCGCTTTCGCATCCCAGGTCTGAAACGAGATGCAGTGATCGTTCACCCTTTTGAAGTTCTTCCGTCGCTGCGTGACGAGATGGTGATCGGCCGTGACCTCATGGCAGTCCTCGGCCTCGTGATTGATTTTCGTGCAGGCATTGTCCAATGGGATGGAAGTGAAATGAAGATCCGGACGGACGAAGACGCAGCGCCAACCTCCACTGCGCGCGGTCTTGTGGAGGTCCCGGATGATGAAACAGATGAGTTGTTCGCAGGCGAAGACACTGGGCTCAAGCCAGTTGATCTTCTGCCTAAGTACCTGGATGAAGCAATGGCGCACTGCTATCTCAAGATGCTGGAGGAGTATTATGATTTCTATTCCGGTCGTCTCGGTAGAATTCGTGTGCCCGACTACGTGCTGCCACTGAGCACGGACTACGTACCCTCAGTCGCGAGACCTTACTCAATTGCGCGCTGCCACGAAGACGCTGCCCGTCGCGAGATGCAGCGCCTGCTGGAGCTGGATGTGGTTGAACAGATCTACGACTCGGAGGCCGCGGCACCCGCCTTTTTCTTGCTGAAGCCAAGTGGAGAACTTCGTCTACTGGTTGACTTTCGCTGGATGAACCGATATCTCCGCCGCTCTCCGTACCTTGTTCCCAAGATCCGCGAGATTTTGCTGCGTCTGGATAAAGCTAAGTGTATCAGCACCCTCGATGCAAACATGGGGTATTTCGCTAGAAGACTAGCCCGCCAGAGTCGAGCAGCGACCGCTTTCTGCCTTCCGTTTGGCAAGTTTCAGCTCAAGCGTCTGCCCATGGGAATATCGACTGCGCACGATGAATACCAGGCCTGTATGGAGCGCATTTTGGGCGACTTGCCCTTTGTCATTGTGTATCTGGACGACATTCTAGTCTTCTCGGATAACGAGACCGAGCACGTGGAGCACCTGCGCATCGTGTTTGAACGTCTGCGTCAGTATGATGTCACGCTAAACGCCAAGAAGTGCCGGATTTTCAGAGACTCAGTGGACTACTTAGGGTTTACCCTGACTCCAAATGGAATCCAGCCTCAAACTAAGAAGGTCAAGGCAATTCAGCAAATTGCAGAGCCCCGTAGCAAGAAGGAGCTCCGCCGATTCCTAGGAATGATCTCCTATTATCGCGAGATGGTGCCGAACAAGTCAGCTCTCGCCGCGCGCCTTAATCGCCTCACCTCCAAGAATGTGCCCTTTGTCTGGACTCCGGAGGATGCCGAAGCTTTTCGCGAGATTAAGACAGCACTGGCTCGCAATGTTTGGCTCGCTTTCCCTGATTACAGTCGCAGATTTCACGTATTTGCCGACGCCAGTGGACGCCAGCTCGAAGGGGTCATCGTCCAAGGCAAGCGTGTGATTGCTTGCTTCTCGCGATCTCTCACTGAGGCACAGAAGAAGTACTCTACGATGGAGTGGGAGCTGCTTTCTGTGGTGGAAATACTAAAAGAGTATCGCTCAATGCTTCTAGGGTTTCCTGTTGTCATCCACACGGATCACAAAAACCTCCTGCACCCTCAAGAAAACTCTCTTCGCGTGAAGCGCTGGAAGTTACTGCTAGAAGAGTACCGACTCACCGTCGAGTACATCCCAGGGCCGCAGAATATCGGAGCCGATGCCTTCTCACGCCTTCGCTACGATCATGTGAAACAAGCAACCGAAGATGAGCTTTTTGTGGTTGACGAAGAAGAAGTCGCTATCGATGGAGCTGTGATGAAAAAGCACCAATTAGCGGACCCGACCACGAAAGAAATAATCACCCGGCTCGAGAACGACGAAGCCGATCCTGACTACGCCCTTCGGACAGCTCTCGGCGTCGTCTTGCTACACTACAAGAAGAAGGTCGTGGTTCTCGTCTCTCTCCGTGACGAGCTGATCGAATTCTACCACGACTTCCTACTGCACCCCGGCGGCGAGAAGCAGTACCGATCGATGTCGACTTTCTGGTGGCCCGGCATGGAAAAAGCAGTGAAGAAGTACGTCAAGTCTTGCACGCAGTGCAAAAGGGCCAAACTGCGCGGAGGAAAACAGTCGTACGGGCATCTTCCGCCGACGCCAATGTCCAACGAGAATCGGCCATTCGATGTGTTTCACGTCGATCTCGTTGGCCCGCTGGAAGGGGACTTTTACTGCCTCACTGCCATTGAGCGCCAATTTCGTTGGCTCGAGGTGATGATGCAGAGAGGGCGCACGTCGGCCACGACAGCGCTGAGTTTTGAGCGGGTCTGGTTGTGTCGCTATCCTCGACCAAAAGTCGTCATTCACGACCAAGGCCCCGAGTTTACTGGTGATGAATTCCAGTTGCTGCTTCGTACGATGGCAATCAAGGCAAAGCCCATCACTACAAAAAACCTGCAGGCAAATGCAATTTGTGAACGTGTCCACCTGGAGATCCTGAACATCATTCGCGCTCTTGAGTGATCAGCTCGAAGTGGTATTGGACTATGCTGCCTACGCAATTCGCGCTAGCTACCACTCGGTGCTGCGGGCTTCGCCAGCGCAACTACTTTTCGGCGAGGACCTAATTACGCGACAACTTCACTTTGCCAATTGGAGCTTCCTGTCCAAGCAGCGGTTCGCTGCCATCATGCAGGAGAATGATCGTGAGAATTTGCAGCGCATTCAGCACTTCTACCAGCCTGGAGATCAAGTTATGCTGCGTGTTCCCGCTCGCGACCGGAAAAAACTCAAGAAGTTGCAAAGGGGCCGTACCTGATCAAGACCGTTTTCGACAATGGTACCGTGATCCTCGACACCGGAACGACCGAGTCACGGGTGAACATACGGCGGATCTTCCCTTGCTGAAGTGTGCTTCGCCATCGGGGAGAGTGACAAGAAGCCAGCATTCCTTCAACCTTAATCCATGTCACCCATCTCACCCGACTGCATCTGGGTTCAACGGACTTTTTGGCTACACGGTATTGGAACCTTTCTGTCAGTCTGCCCAAGAGTGAATTTGGCAAGTTGGCCATCCCGTATCTCTCGCACAAGATAAGTGCTGAGGGTATTCGAGCCACGCCCAAGATCGCGAAGGGCGTCCAGGATCTCCCGTTCCCTGAAAGGGGTGTAGTCTTTCCTGGGGAGTCTCAACTATTACCATAAGTTCATCGAAGACTTCCGGGTCGTAGCTGCCGTTCTATACGAGCTCACGGATGAGCAAGTTCGTTCCGGCCGAGATCTCTCACGAGCCAAGGAGGCATTCGAGATATTGAAAAAGAAGATTGTCTCGACCCCACTGCTTCGCCATCCAGACCGCACGAGGCCGTTCCTGATCATTCCTCATGCCAACCAGTGGGCCGCCTGTGCGGTTCTCGGCCAAGAATACGACGGTGTCTTTCACCCGGTCAGGTTCACGGGGCGCGTGTTGAACGCTCGGACCTCCGGTATCACATCGCCGAGAAAGAGGTGGTGGCCGTGATGCGGGTTCTGGACGTGTTCCAATCTCTCGTCCAAGGATGTTTGGTCAAGGTTTTCACTCGACACTCCGTCCTGAGTTGGCCGCTGAAGTCCAAGACGGCGGATGGAAGATGTGTCCGCTGGGGCGCCACGCTATCCCATTGGGACCTGGAAGTGCACAAGATCAAGCGAGATGAGGACGGTCTGCCAGCCATCCTGGGCGCAGGTATCACACCTCGCGAACATCTGGACGAGGTCGCGGAAAATCTCATCCCGGCCAAAGGAATTGTCAAGACTCCGCCCGTGATAAGCATCGAAATGCTGGGCGAGGATTTTGACGGATACGTCTTAAGTTTCGACGGAGCCGCCAAGACGTCGACTCGTCAAGGCAGCTGCGGATGTATCATCTGGAGGCTCCCCGGCTGGAAGACCCTGAGCGCACATGGTTTCATTCTGGAAGATGTCACAGTGAATGACGCTGAGTATCATGGTATACTCAAGGGCATGGAGTTGGCGTCCGCCCAGAACATCCAGGAACTGGTCGTCGTCGGAGACTCTCGAATTGTCATCCAGCAGGTGCAAGGGCTGATAAACTGCAATCAACCAAATTTGCAGCGACGTCTGGTCGAGTACCAAAGTCTGGGCGAGAAGTTCAAGTCGGTCAAGCTGTGCACATTAAGCGTGAGTTCAACCAAGCGGCTGATTACCTAACGTCCAAGACACTGGCGATGGGAGAATCCTGGGCGGTTGAAGATCTGGAGGAATTCAAGCCTCTCGAACAAGTCTCGCCGATCCAGGAGAAGTTAATGAAGCCAGCGGAAAGTCTGGGCGAGAAGAGTGAAGAAGTCCCCGTCCAGAAGACTCCAGTGGGAGGAAACCTGGTCGAGTCACTTCCAGGGCCCGAGTCCGCACCGCTGCCGATTGCTGCGCGCGTCATGGCTGCCGTGACTAGAAGTCACGCCCGAGAAGAACCTGACCAGACTGAGCCCCTCGGCCCAGTTGAGTTTCAGGCAGAACGCTGGAGGCGGATCAAGGTTCACCAAGACAATGACGCCCAGATTGCGGAGATGAAGAAGTTCCTGGCCGGAGACGTCAGTTTCTCCCGACATCAGATTCGAAAGCTGTCGAAGCACGCCGAATTATTCGCTGTGGATGTCAGGGGTGTGCTATATCGGTTGAGGCGTGCTACGCGAGACCGGCCTCGGGACATGTCGGATGAACCAAGGTTGGTCACTCCGCCCGGACATTCTCCATTACGCTCACGAAGACTTCCAGGGCGGACATCAAGGTATAACCCGGACGCACGAAAAACTCCGGGCAGAGTTCTATTGGCCTGTTATGTACGCCGACGTGGAGAGAGTGCGTGGACTGTGCGAGTGGCAAGGGGCATCCGCCCAACCCGGGTCCTTCGCCCGGGAATATTGAGCCGAGACAACCATTCGAGGTGGTTTCGATGGACTTTGTCACTCACTTGCCCAAGTCCGAGCGAGGAAATACTTTCTTGCTCCTCTTCCAGGATGCGTTCTCCGGGTACGTCATGTGCAAGCCCATGGATTCGACCACCGCCCAAGAAGTCGCCGAGGCCTACGAAGAAAGAGTGTTCCGGCAGTTCGGAGCGAGCTCGCTACTACGTCACGACCAGGATCCCCGGTTCATGAGCGAGGTGTTCACTCGGTTCCGGGAGCTTCTTGGGAGTAGACAGCGTGCCACCCTGGCCTACCGACCTCAGGCGAATGGTCAACAAGAAAGGTCCGTCCAGACTGTCGTCCGGAGTATCCGGGTGTATATCGCGGAGTCTGACCAAAGTGACTGGGACGATCACGCCGAGAGGCTGATGTTCGCCCTGAACACTTCGTTCGACGCGACTCGCCTGGACACCCCGTTCTACCTGGTCCACGGCTGGGACGCCAGGAGCACTCTGTCGGCCATGCTTGACCCAAAACCATCCAGTGTCCCTGAGCGGACTGCCTACGAATGGCGTCGGAAACTCCAGCGTGGCTACAGTTACGCCCAAGCATGCGCCGAGGATCTCCAGCGGAAGGCCAAGCGTGCGCGCTTGGCCGAGCAAACACGCAAGTGGAAGGAATTGTCTGACCGAGTGAAATCTGGTTTCGAGGTCGGAGATGCAGTCTGGCTGTATATTCCGAAAGTACAACCCGGCCTGAGTCGCAAGTTGGCGCACCTCTGGCATGGCCCGTTCAGGATCGCCGAGATGCATGATGACTTCCGGGTGAAGCTCAAGGTCGACGACACGGGTTACCGAGTCAACCCTTGGGTGCATGTTTCTCGGCTGAAGCCACGTGCACTCTACCCTCGACAACCATCCGCCCAGATCGAAGTTGACGATGACGATGATTTTGACGCTGCACTCCCCCCGGAGGACAGTTGGGAGGCTGACAATGAAAACGACGAGTACATAAAATCCTGGACATTCGTTGGTCCAGGCGGACTCGTACGCCCAAAAGGGCTCGGGAGTACCAAGTGAAATGGAAGGGGTATGACGATCCCGAATGGATCCCAGTGTCGCATCTCAATTGTGGTGCGTTGCTCAACCAGGGCGCGAAAGCACGGGCTCGTTTCCAGGCTATGCAGGCTGGAGATGATCATCCGAGTGTGTAACCCCGGGCGGGGATTTCTTGACCGGACCAGATCGTCGATCGTGTGATTTCGTGGAAATGGAGTGTGATTTGAACTGGAACAATGATCCGCCCAGGGTTGCCTAATGCAGGAGACTCTGGTCGGTGACAAGGTTGGGAGGTGTGAGACGCCAGGTCGCGTCGGTCTGGCCGAGTGATTATGGAGATGTTTTGACGATGATGATACTTTGACTTGAATCCAGTATGGTGGCGATGATGAGACCCTGAATGAGGCACAACGGGAACGACGCAAAGAACAAATAACGACAAAGTGTCAAAGATTATGGAATTGAATTAGTGGAGGTTACGCTACTCAAATGCATGGCTCCCGCTACTTCGGCCGAACTCCTCCACTGTGTGCGAGATAGGGTTAGCCGCGCGTTCCCGCTACTTCGACCCAACTACTCCACTGTGTGCGAGATAGGGTTAGCCGCGCGTTCCTCGGGCGAGAGCTCGCGGAGGCGAAGGTCGTGCGAAACATGGGCCGTCCGGTCGGAGTCCGTGCAGTAATACGACCACTGAGTCCGGCTGGGCTCCGCTCGCTCTGCCATCTCGATCTGCTCGGCCAGGCTGTACGGGTCACCTTGCGCGTTCAACGTGGACGGGTCGGTCAAGTACATGTAGCAAATCTTGGCCGGGTAAACCCAAACGCCGGGCTCTTCGAAGACAGACGCAGGGACTCCTTTCTTGATGAAGCGCTTGACACGATCCTCCATGCCACGACCGATGTTCTCGTGCAGCTCACGACGTCTCTCGTAGAGTGTGTTCGCCAGGAGATACTTGAGCGGATCGACGGGCTCACCCTTGGCCGCCTTGATCTTGATGGAGAACCAGTGGAGCATGTACCAGAAGACCTCGGCGTGATCTCGAACGTAGCGCAGGTACTCGTCGATCCACTTGAACGACCCGGCCGGAAGTTCCGAGCGTCTGTGGAAATGGAAGACCTTGACCCGATTCCGGAACATCTCCTCCCAGGGTTTTGCGGCCACGATCAGCTCATACTCCGTTTTAACTACAGGCCAGCGCGCGCAGAGACGTTCCAGGCCACCTTCACCCTTGTACGGACAGTGCTCCGGAAAGCCGGGCGTCTGGTTCTCGTGGCCATTTTTCTTGGGCGTGAACTGGCTCAGGATACCACGTCGACGCCACGACAGGACACCTTTGGTCGGCTGCTCGATCATGGCCAACTCGGCCGGAGTCAGCTCATCGTACTTCTTTCGGGCGAGAGGTGACTTGCGCTTTTCTAGCTCAGCCCTCGCCCGGGAACGCAGGCTGCCAGATTTCTTGCCCGAGGTAGAACCAGAACGAGACTGACGGGGACGCTTGGGCGAAGGAGAATACGTGAACTTCTTGGGCTTGACGCTGCTGGCACTCTCGGACGAGGAATCTGACGAAGACCGCACTCTCTGGGAAGACGCTTTACGCTTGGGTTTCCGGGGAGGCTCGTCGTCAGTACTGCTGCTGCTGCTGTCTCCATCGTCACCCTCAGCATCATGTTTCTCGGCCGGAGTCGGCGTGACCTTGACCACTTCGACCGCGTCACCTTCGTCGTCGTCGTCGTCTTCATCGACTGCATCACCGTTGTTGCAGTCCGGGTCGGTGGCCTTGTCATCTTCGGACGAACTGCTGGAGGCTTCGGCATCTTGACGAGATCCTTGGCCAGATTACGTAGAGGCGGCCAGGCCGAAGGAACGTACTCCTTGTCAAGCCAATCGTCCAAAACAACCTCGGTCATCCTGTAGTATGAAACGGGGACGTATTTCGCCCAGGGTGTCTCGTCCAGCTTACGGTGGTACATCATGGTTGCCAACATCTTGAGGAGCGAGTCCCGGTGGAAGTGGCCGTGGCCAACTCGATCCATGCCCAGAGTATTGACAGCCTCGTGATAATTCACCCCAGAGCGCATAGTCCACTGGACGTCTGGCCGGAGATCTTGCCAAGCGATGAACTCCGGGAGGAGAGCGCAGGCCTCCTGCACCGAGAGCCTCAACGGGAACCTTGACGGACGAGGACCGACGTGCGATTCCGGGTGGACACTGGGACGACGTTGGACAACCTTGGCCTTCTTGGACGAAGAACCCCGGCCGGACCCCGACTTGGATGACCCCGGCGAAGATTGCTGTGTGCGCCTGGGCGGAGTCGCGACTGGAACACTGGCCGGAGGAGAGTTGTCCTCAGCCTTCTCCTCCTGAGCGTCACCATCAGCACCACCCTCGTCGTCATCACTCTCGTCCAGGAGCGGGCCCGGGTACGGAGGATACATACGGTAGGGCCTGTCAACTGCCTCCACAGAGATCCAGGTTCGCCAGCTCCCGGGCGGAATGGTCCCGTTCTGGAAACGACGGAAAAGCTTGCGAAGACGTGACCAGTTGCCTCGCACCTCAGTCCCTCTGGAGTTCAGGAAGTCCATCAGTCCGGCCGCGTCGAAACGCGTTTCCTGGGCGGAACGCTGGAGGTGGACGATCTGCGTGTTCGCATACGCCAGTTGAGTCTCCAGCTCATCCACTCTCCCCGGAAGAGCTGAAGTCTCCTCCAAGTTTTCCTTGGCCAGACGTCGGAAGTTGTCGTCCAGTATGGCCCCGCTTCCGGCCGAATCTTCCTTGGCAGACTTGAGCTGCTGCCGGTAGTACTCGTCGAGGAAGACAACGTCGCGCTTGAGCTGGTCGTATTTTGTCCGGAGCTGGAGGATCTCGGCCGCAGAAGACTCCCCGTCGATATCGTCGAAGACGGCCTGACGCTGACGATCTCGGGCGAGGAGATGGCGAATCGTGGAGACTGTGTAGAAGCCCTTCTGGGTGAGTTGATGGACGGGGAAATGCATGAGGAGCGACGCAAACTCACGGCGAGCGACGAGCGAATTCAGGAGTGCCTCCAGTGGAGTCAGGCTGGGAGTGTCTTGGTCATGGTACGGACGGAGGATCAGCCCACGCACCTCGACTTGGCCGTGAAGTGCTGGGCGCTGCTCGCCCGAAGGCGTCTGCCCGGACGTGGTGCCGATGTTCTGGTCGGGTGTGGGAATGCCGGGGGCGTCGTCGACCATTTCCATGTCGGCGTTGTCGCCCTTCTCCTCCCCCTTCGCGTCGCCGTCTTCGTCGTCTTCGCCGTCGTGATCCGCATTGTTGTTGTCGCGCTCGTCGCCGGCGTCCATCGCCTCGTCACCACTTGCGTTCGCGGAAGACCCCTTGTTGTTGTCCATCGGGTCGGCCTTCGAGTTGTTGGTGCCGCCGCCAGCCGTGCCATCCGGGATGGGCAGCGGCTCAAGCGGGAGCAACGCAGCGTCGGCGATCAAGTCGGCGTCGGAGGTGTTCGTGGACATCGTGTGTCGGCGAGGTGGCAGATTTTGTTGTGAGCGATGAAGTCGTGGCAAGCCCGAGCGAGTGACTGATGGCCCCAGACGTGGCTGAGAAATATTCGGCTAGGCGAGGGAGCACAGAAGGGACGCGACCGTTGGAAGTCCGGGCGAATCAAACCGGCCGTCAACACTCCGCCCAGACATCAGATCGTGTGGTCTAGTCAAGCTTGATCAATTCGGCAAACGGCCTCGGTGACCAAGCGAGACCAGTGGGGCGGTTGACACGATGGGAAATTGGATTTTCGTCTGGGCGCAGTGTGATTGGCTGAAATTGGATGGTTGGATGACATGGATTGCGCGACAAGTACAAGGATCTGGGACCCGGCGAAGACTCGCCCAGGATGCATATCGACCAGCGACCCTGGTCGAGTCGCTAACTCATTTTGCGACTCTGGCCGGGTGTAAGTCTGGGAGATACGATCAAGATATACTCAAGTCAAGATGTTTCCGACCTACCAGGCAGACCGACCGAGGATGGGCAAAGATTCCGTGGAACGTTGAAGGAGGTGATTTGTACCCACGACTCTACATTGGATTTTGGCTCGGCGGGGATGTCGACGTCAACCGCAGTATAGTGAAATCAAGTGAAAAGCAAAATGCATGTCTGAGTTGCAGGAATATAGCCACAGAGTAAAAGATAAACAGAGTTCGTTTTCCCCTGAAACCCGCAAGCCGCCAGGAAGCGCAGGACGACCGGGCACCGCGGCTAGGTATGACCGTGGTTGGATCTCTCCCTGAAGTAAGTACGCCAAGTTAGGTAAGGGGACTGGGGCGTACAGGCGTCTCAGGGTGATCCGCCTATTTCATTTCCTAGTTGCAGCCGTATTCTCGCCCAGAGCGAGGTCCTGCGTTTCATATTATCGATTACATCTCGGGCGGCGCTATTCACTCCGCCCGGGACTTGGCCGGAAGCCTATTGTGTGGTAGGGTATTGATATTGGTTATTTTGCTCTCAGTACATATGGGAGTGGTGCGCGTTTGAAGTCGCCCAGGGTTGACCAGTACCCTGGATACGACTCGTTAGTTGACTGGAGTAGTGACCCACCGTCCGAGGGTCCGAAAGAATAAGTGACGGATATTTGTATTTGTGTATACCTCTGTATTTGTGGTTATCGTCCTGAGTCGTAGGGGCTACGTTTGGAAGTACGTATCGTACCCCGCTCGGAGACCCAACAGTGTACAACAACTCACCAACTCGGCCGAGCTCTTTGGTTCGAAGACAAACGACCCGAGAGGGATTGTCACAAGGAACACACGCCATCTCGGGCGGACATCTTCTGGTGTATCCGCCTGAGAAGTTCTAAGGGACTTTGGTCTCCCGGAACATTCGCACACTATACACCTGGGCGGAAAAGGCGTTCACCCGCCTCGCCTCAGCCGTGCGCTCCGTCACGCAGCTCACCACTCTATATCGTGTTACCTACTCCACGGCGGCGATGACATACCGGTCGCCACCGTCTGCTACGGGGAACGGGCCGGCGACATCAAGTGCCCACCGGTCACCTACTGCACCACCGCGTAAACTTCGTAGTGGCGGAATCACCTCACGTGGGTTCGCCTTACGTGAGCCACACCCTGGCATCCGCGCACCCAGTGGCGTACTTCTCGGTAAAGCCCAGGCCACCAATACAACTGAGCTACTCGTCCATACGTGTTAGGGCCACGGAGGTGTCCACTCCACACCGTACCGTGCATCTCCTTAAACACCGTAGACCACAGCGTCGGTAGCAATGTGACGAAGTCCGCTCAGATTTTGGCGAACCTCGTCGGTCGACTGCCTTTAACATGTTTGGTCTAGGACGCAGTGATTCAGTCTCAACCGTGGTACGCCCGGACGACGTCGGTGATGGAGAACCTGGTGGAGCCCTTGGCGTATGGAGCTGGCGCCCAGTGCAACTTCGAAGTCGAACAAGCGTGTGGGATGCGGATACGACAGACGCAGGACTGCTGAGGTTGTTGGCCGAAGATCGCCAGGTTCAGATGTGAAGTGCAGACGTTGCCGAGGCTCAGATGAACGGCTACCGGAGTTGACCGAAGTCCTGGGGTGTCGACGCTGTGCTTGCGGAACGTTGCCACGTCCAGAGGCCGCGAGCTGATCACTGGTGTCGGCAAAGAGTAAGGCTGACTACGTGCGTACTCGGGATGTGTGAGGCTTCTACCACTTGGATGTGCTTGCTGCATCGCTGAAGTCCAGCCGAAGTGGCCCGAGGTTGGGAGCCCGTGCTGCGTCATTGCCGAACTTCCGAAGGTCCAGATGTGCGTCGGCTAAGCTGACGGCTCAGCGAGGAAGGTTTCCCTGGACTCCGAGGAGGTTCAGCCTGAGCTTGCTGGACTTCGCTGAACATGGCTGGATTTGGCGGACGTTGGTGGACCCTTCGAGTTCAAGGTCCAGCGGAGCCTTGGAGGCTCCAAGTGCTGTTGAAGTTGTGCTCGCGTCGAGTCGCTGTGGAGGGTCGCCGTGTCAGGTCACGCCATCCCGTGATTGCAGACAAATCAGCTCTGACGTCTCCCGTCGCGCCCTGATGACGCACCCCATGCGGCCAATCACAGGCGCGGGATCTGGGTTGCTGGCGGTGATTACGCCCAGAGCCGCTGGATTCTGCTGGACGCATCCGAGTTTCGGCCAATCATCGCTGAGCTCATGTTGAAGCGCCGCATGCGACTGCGCGTTGCTGGCAGCTCGCAAGACAGTCTTCTCACTGTTGTTTTAGTGTTTCCGAAGGGCGTTTTGCGCCCCACTTGATAGGTTCATGTTTGCATGTGCAAGATTTAAATCAGAGTCGAATTTGCCCCGAAAGACGCACGTGTTTGGATTTTGTGTGGTCGCGGGTGTCAAGGAGCGCCTCCAGTGAAATTCAAGGCCCCATATAGACCGATTCGGTACCCCTGGGTGTGAGGAGGGCTCCGTTTGGCTATTTCATATCGTTACGCGTCGAACCGACACTTGGGAGCGGCTCTCGGCGTGTATTTCATTTTGACCGGGGAGGAAGAGCCTTCTCGTTGGTTGTGGAGCGATCGTACGACTGGTTGGGATTCGGCCCGACATTTGGCGTGGATTGTTTGGTGTCCGCCTGACATTTGGAGATCGGGCGTGGTGCGCGGAAGTCCCAGGGCGCAGAGCGGGAACCCTGGGTCAAGACAGGCTCAAGCCGAGCCAACTCACGGGGCAACTCTAGGTCGAGGAGCGAGGGAGACCTGGTTCTGCGGCTCTCAGCTGGAGCCGCCGAAGGAAGTGAAGAAGCTGTCAAGACCTGGTCCAAGGTCTGGAAAGAAGAGGACGGAGTGCGTGTGGAGTGTCGTGTGTACATTGAAGAAAACCCGGGGCAGATTGGGCTACGGCACGTGCAGATGAGAGCCTGTTAAGTGGGGAGCAAGCACCGTTTGGAGACACTGGGAGACATCTGGACTGGACGTGAAGTTGCTGTGGTTGACCTCCGACTGAGCCCAAAGCGTAGCCCTAGGAAGAGCTATTCAAGGGGATCACAAGGGAGGTACACACACGCCTCATCCGGTTCAAGTCCAAGTTCAAGGAGCGTCAGAAGAGTCTTCATTGCAGTCCAGCCGAGGTCTTTCGGCTGGGACTCTGATACTCTAGGACTCTGCGAGTTTGGGTCTGGGCCTGGTGATTCTACGCTTGGACAAGTCTATTCTACGTCTGGGGGGAAATTGTCCCGCCGCCTCGCCACAGCAACACCACTCGCCATCCGTTCTGGTCACCAGACCGAACTTGGTCTCGACCGTCATGCTGGCGTACCTGCCGTCCGTCAGCAGTCGCTTCACGAACTTGCTGCGCTTCTGCGCCACCATCAGCTCGTTGTCGCTCAGCTGGAGCATGTCGCCCATTGGGGCATCTTCTGCCCAAGTCGTCCGCGCCGTTCGTCATCAACACGGCGTTGTTCGCCGCATCCGGAGCCACCGTCGCCTCCTTCGTCGTGTTCGCCGTGGCCACGCCCTTCGTCGAGCGCTTCTCCGTCGTCGGCAGCGTCGTCACCGTCTTCGTAGGCGTCGGCGCTGTCGCCGATGTCTTCGCACGTGTCGTCGTCTTCGTCGTCACCGTCGGCGTCTTCTGCGCCGTCGCCGCCTTCTTCCCACGCGTCGGAGGCGCTATTACTTCGCGTCGGGCGCCTCGTGCCGCCGTAGGTTGTGGTGATGGGGATGCAGTTGCACGTGGGGCTGGTGTAGCCACTGCTGGTGCTGCACTCGCCGTCGTCAGGGCGAAAGTAGTCTCCGTAGCCGTAGTCCTCGGCTCCACCGCTACACTGGCGTTCGGCACGTCCGTGCTGGTCGCCTGTGTCGTAGTCGTCATCGTTGTTCGTCGTCGCGCACTTGGTGTCGTACTGCTCACACCAGAGGCTGTCGTCGAGGCTGCCGGCTGTCCAGCGTCCGAGATCGCGCTGGTCTCATCGTTCTCGGCCGGATCCGTCGTCGCCCGGTGTACGTGGCGCTCTGCACGCTCACGTATACGTGCACTTCGTCGTGTGGCAGGCTCAGCTGCCTTCTTCATGAGCCTCCTGCTGGCTGTCGGCGCCAGCGTGGTGCTGCTGTGCTCCTCGTGCGTCTCCGTCGCCATGCCGCTGTGCACCGTCATCATACTGTCCACCGTCGCCGAGCTGCGGTTCGTCGTGGCCACCGCGGTCGTGTCGTGCCCGCCGTGCACGACTTGGGCTCCGTTCACCACGCCGTCTCTAGCCACTCGGGTGTACGCCCACTCGCGCCTACCCTACTCGTCGCAGCCGTCGAGAGACTCGGAAGCCGTATGCTCCCTGTTCGTCGCCTTCGCCGTCGTCCACTGCCGTGTAGCTGTCCACCGAGGTCTCTCGTAACTCTGCGCCACGCCCCGCTTGCCGTTCGTTCGTTCGTTCGTTGTGCTCGCTCCCGAGCACGCGTTGTCTGAGTCGTCCGGCTGTTCGTTAGCCGTCCGATTCGCGAGTCCTCTGGCTGCTTGCGCCACCAATTCTCGAGTGAGCTCGACTCGTGGGGCCCGCAGGGCTCACGGGTTCGGAGGGAGTCGCGGTCCAGTGTGCCGACCATGCGGTCCGCTGGATACGCGTCCCACTCCTATTTGGCGTCTCGACGGCGCCCGTCGTCTCATTCACCGTCGCGACGCCGGCCTCCTTACAGAGGATTTCTTCATGTTGTTGGTGAAGGCTCGGTTCTTGGACAATTATTCAGCTTTCGCAGCAAGACCAGGATGTTGCTCGAGCGTCTTGAGCGCTGCAGAGTTCTTCTCGAACGATATCGCTGAGCTTGGACTCTTGCTGAAAAATGACTTGAGCTTGCTGAAAACCGGGAGCAGCTGTTCCTCCTCATCTGCAGCAACCGTGTCGTCTTCGGAAGCAGGTACCTTCTCGAGTCTACGGATGCGGCGATGAGTTTTGTCATAGTTCGTGAGAGCGCGGTGGGAGGTTTTGGCCTCCACGATGGCAATCTCGGCCGGTTCGGCGACGCCATTGAGGCCTTTGCAGCTTCTAATAAGCGAGGCGAAGAAGAATACCGCGACGACGAAGAAGAAGCGACTGTGATTCATCAAGTCGGCGTGTTGCGAACGAGTGGTTGGAGGAGAAATTGAAAATGGGCCGTTAACGAGAGAAGGTAATGGAGGGAGTGGTTGCCGTCAGTTCAACAGGTTGTGATTTGTCGAAAATTCACGTACGAATCCTTGCGGTTGTAAAATTCTAATAATTAGTTCTGTGCCAACAGTAGACAGGAGATAATTTGTAGAATGAGGGATCGGTACTAGAACTTTTTAAAGGGTAGTAGAAGGTCATAAGGGCTGTACCTGTGGAGCCAGTGCTCAATCATCCTGGGGGGAAAGGCATAATGAAGTGTAAGACTCTTTGCAAACGGTTGCTTTCTGCACGTATGCTATACACTATATGATGAACACGCACGTGCAGGAAGCAATGGTTGTGAAGCGTCTTCGATACTAGTATGTGCAGGACGCCACGAAACAGGTCGTGATCAAGGGTCCGTCTACTTTCGAATATATTTCGCTGTATTTGGTGCGAATAACGTGCTACAGTACACGCACTTTCGTGAGATATCTCTTAATGCTTGACGCCGCTTAAACCTGTATCAGTTTACTTCCGTCAGCACACACATGTTGATACAATTATCCTTAACTAGATGCGCATTGTGCTCTCCTCATGCTTCTTTCAGGGCGTGGTGACACCGGACAAGCATATTTTCCATGTCAAACAACAACTTTAGTACAGTGCAATTTACTCGGAAGTCATCGAAGTGAACTCGAAATTAAGTAGCATCCCGGCCCGGTCAGCAGGATTGATGAAGACTCACCCGCGGTCAACACTGCGGTGCCCTGAATAATGCCGTCGTTCTGAGTGCCGATTTTATCGTGGGAGTTCAACGACGACGGTGTTCATGATGCTAGTTGTTGTTTTTGCTGTTGCTGTTGTTTGCTGCTGGAAAGGTGGCAAATTGCAATGTGAGTGGGGCGCTTGATCCCCTGGTCCGAGGCGAGTGTACGAATATGAACTGCGTAATCGGTTGCCGCGGATTATGCAGTGCGACGAGAGATGACGCTTGGTGTGGATTACGCGGTGCAACATTGTCGGCCAAGCGAGATGGCAGTAAATGTTATCCGGGGATTTAGTAAGTATCTGGAGATCTTTAATCCGTTAGCTGCTGAACAATGTGCAATGGGCCTTCATATCCTAGCGGGATGGAGGAGTTCTCGACAGCGATACCAACGCCTCCATTTCTGATCAATGCTTTGAATAGAGGGCGGTATCTGACCAATTTTTGAGCAGATACCGCCCTCTATTCAAAGCATCAGTCAAAAATGAAGGTACCGGCAGTTGGACGTCAAGTTGGGCCGTTTCTTGACGTCAAAATTGATTTTGGCCTCTCATTTTTAGGCCATCAAAATGCTGCGGTGGACGTTGCGCGCGCGTCGCCGCGTGAGCCTCTGGGGTCCGCCAGGGACACTGTCACGCTCTGCCAGGGGTGTGCCGACACTCTCATCCGATTCCCCCGCTCTAACACGCAATTTCCAGGTCGTTCTGTCGCCAAAACCAACTCGAACGGACGCATGTCAACCTCTTGCTGCGACGCTGCAGCTGCCAACCCGCTTCTACTCTCAACCAGCGGCCAGCAGCAGCGTCGCTACTAAGCCTGCCATGTCCACGGAAGACCGGGCTCTAGCGAGGAACTATCGGGAGAGACTGGAATCGGCTCCGGATGACGCGGAGCTCGCTCGACTCGTGCTTGAAGACATCCGGGAAGGTGGCGGCACTGCGCTGTCGCAGTTTGTGGCCTCGAGCATCTTCAGCACTTTGGCGAGAGAGGGTTCGATAAGCGAGTGTCGGGAGGCGGTGGAGTACGCGTGGAGGCTAGGCATGCGGCTGGATACCAAGACGGGGCTGACCAACTTTGATACTCAGCAATACACGACGGTGCTTGGTGTGTGGGACGCTGTCCACGAAGATGGAGGCAAGATTGAACCGTTCTACAACATCACAGCATTGATCGCGGCCGTCAATTTGGAGCAAAGTGACCGAGTTTTTGACATTCTGGATGCCATGAAAGCTGGTGGTGGAGACACCGCCAAGGCGTACGGATACGTGGTGGTAGCTGCTTGTCAGCACAAGCAGTATCAATTTGTGCAGCGTCTGTTAGACTACATGCACGAAGTCGGCGACGATACCGCGCTTGTGTACCGCACCGCTATTGGATGGGCCGTCAAAATGGGCGAGAATGGCTTCGTCTTCGATCTCCTGCGGCACATGGGCGAACACGATGTGGATCGACAGACCTGGTACAGGAGCTTCGTCATGTCGTCGCACAAGAACAGATTATACGACCAGATTCTGGACGTGTTCGAATCAATGAGAAGTTCAGGGCACAAGTGCGACGACGATACGTACGAGGTTATCGTAAGAGCGGCGGTTAACCTAAGGAAGCGCGCCTTGGTGTTTGACTTCCTGGAGATGAAAGGGCAATTCTGCGCGGCGGAGATTTCGACAGACTTCTTTTGCAGATTAGTGGGGACGGCGGTGAAGACACAGCAGCATGCGCTTTTGATGGGCGTTCTTGACTACATGCACCGCGCCGATTCAGACGCATTAATCGCGTACACTGCTGCCGTTCGAACCTCGTTCAAGTTGAAGCAGTACGACTCTGTCTTGGATATCTTGCGGAAAATGAACGAGATTGGGCTGGACTCGAGGGAGGAGTACACTCACGCTGTGATGTCATTCAGTAAACTGGAGTGCTATGGCCACGTTCTGCGTGCCTTCAAAGCTATGCGCGATCGCGGCTACGAGCAGGAAGAGCCCCTATTTAAGGTTGCTGTACGAGCAGCTATCAAGTTGGACAGACCTGACGATGTAGTTGCAATCTGCAACGGATCGGGCATTAAGTTGCCCGAGTCCATGCGTTTGTACTCGTACGCGTTGAAGAAAGCTCGCGCAGCGAACAAGCAGGCCTTGGTCGACACCATTTTGGGGCATAGAAGCAAGACCAACAAGGCTGTGAAGCAGTCCGTCACCGCTTCGAAGAAGCCCACTACTGCTGCGAAGGTGCCTCGCCCTGCTGAACCTGGATCAGATGACACACGAGCAGTACCTGCAATACTGGCGGAGTACTTGGAGAAACTACCCAACAGCATTGAAGCTCTTAGCGCGGCACTGCTCCTGGCTGACAAGTCCGAGAGCATGAAGGAGATGGTGCCGAGAATTCTGGATCATTTGCTGGAAATCGCCGTTAATCCAAGTTCCGTTATTCGGCCATGCTGCACCAGGCAAATCGGGCAAAACGGCATTCGCTGGTGATGGCCATCACAGATCACGTTGCCAAAAACGACGTGGAATTCACCGACACAATGTGGCATACCATTCTAAAGAGTTGCGCGCGTGTGAGCAACCAGGAAGGCGCGCTTAAAGTGAGAAAAGTAATACAGAGTCGTGGGCGTGGTATTACCGAAGGCACAGCCCACGCTTTGATCAAGTGCGCAGCCAAAATGGACGACTGGGCTGCCGTCATCGACATTCTGTCTAATCTCCGGAGCGAAACATTCAAGCCTACCATAGGCATGTACACCAGGGCTTTCAACGAATGCTCGAGCCGCGGTCACCTGAGCACGGCGGTTGGCATCTACAACGTGATGCCAGAATCTCTTCGAGCTCAACTATCGCCAACGAGCTTGCTTGTAGTGATTCGCGCTCATGCGCGCTCTGACAGGAAGGAGCTGCAGCTGCGTGCCTCGGACATCATCAATGACTTCAGGCATACGTTTTCGCCAAAGAAGCGCAAGGCAATCGAGGAGGAGGTGCAGCATACTATCCAAGAGGTGGTGGTTCGGGAATGCGTGGACGCGATGGCGGAATCCGCTGATAGGATCGAGAAAGCTTCGTCGTCTGGTACAGCGGATAGCAAGGGGATTCTTGGGTATTTTTCGTCGCTCTTCAAGCGTTAGTTTTAGCCTCTTCCTGCTCCGCAGTAGAGTTTCTCAACCAAGTAATGTTAGCGCTATGAAGGAGACATTCTACTACGTAGCCATAGACAATCGGGAAACTTTTCATTACTTTTGTTGTTAAGATGCTAACGGATACGCTGTCTTTACGACAACCGGCGGTAAAGTGTTGGGAATGCATCGACGAGTCTTGGTGGTCAGACTTCGGTCATCCACCCGCTTAGTTTTCGAGCACCACGCGGTAGCGCACCGTGCCGTCGCGCACCATCTTGATGCCCTCGTTCACCTTGGCCATGGGCAGCTTCTGAATCACGGGGCGGACGTTCGCCTTGGACGCCACCTCGAGCATGTCCTTGATGTCCTGGATGCTGCCGATGTTGCTACCCACGAACTTGGCGCCCTTGCCCACCACGCCGAACGCGTTAAACTTGACGTCGTCGTTGGGAAGACCCACCATGATGCATGAGCCGCGCACGGCCAGGAAACTCAGGAACAAAGTGTACGGCATGTTGTCGGCGTTGGCGCAGATCAGCAGCACGTCCACAGATCCGGCAGCTGCGGCAGCCTGCTTCTCGTCCGAGTAGACCACGAACTCCGTCGCGCCGAGGGCGCGCACCTCCGCCTCCTTGTTGGCCGAGCGAGAGAACGCCACAACAGCGTCGGCACCCATGGCCTTTGCGAACTGGATACCCAGGTGACCCAAGCCACCGATGCCCACGACACCCACGCGCTTGCCAGGCTTCACGTCGGCCTCCTTCAGCGGCGTGAACACCGTCGCGCCGGCGCACAGCAGCGGCGCGGCAACGTCCGACGGGATGTTGTCCGGGATCTTGAAGGCGTACTCGTGGGCCACACGAACGTAGTCGGCGTAGCCGCCATAGGAAATGGCCATGTCGTTCAGGTACGTGTCGCCATACGTCCACACTTTGCGGGAGCAGTAGGCGTCGTCTCCACTAGCGCACTCTTTGCATGGGGCCTTGGGGTCCTTGTTCAGGCAGGCCCAGGCCTGAGCGCCCACACCCACACGGTCGCCGACCTTCATGCCCTTCACCTTGTCACCGGCCAGAGTAACCTCACCGACGATCTCGTGACCCACGACGCACGGGTAGATGGACGGGCCCCAGCCGCTGTCGATGGTGTGCAGGTCCGAGCCGCAGATGCCGCAGTGCGAGATCTTGATCTCGATGTCTTCAGGCCCGAGAGGACGCGACTGGTACTCCCAGGGCTTCACCTCCTCGCTCTTGCCGAAGCAAGCGTAGGCGTGGATGCTTCGAGGCTCCGTCGACATTTTTGATCGAGGGTTGGTCTTGTGGTCTTCCTTGGGCTGCGTGGCAGAATCCGGAATGAGGTTTTGGATTGGAGACCTTGAAGCGGCGCTTCAGATTTGGATACCAAGCAGCATTTCTAGAATTGTGTGGCCCACATCAGTATCTGACCATACAAAAAACAAGTAAAAGTGATGCGCGATCATCGCTGCCGTCCCGAAAGAAGGTTTCAGGAATGTTCTCGGTGGTAAATTACGGTAAGGAACAAAACTGCCGGCGTAATGTTCCATGACCCACTACTGTTGGGGCATGTTTCGGCGTCGAAGATGTTCGCGATGTCTAAGGTGTGTGGTGGTCTTTCCGCTTTGGACCATGAAGATGACCGTATGATCGCTGTTTGTGGTGGTTGACGACAAGTCCATTTGCGCGCAAATCGGGCAGTGAAGTGAAGACGCGTCACCCTCTTGAAGTTGTTCATACTGATCTAATGGGTTCCATGAAGCCAAAATCCAAGGGCGGTGTTCTGTATGTCCTCACGTTCATTGACGACTACAGCAGATTCGTCTACGTGTAACTGCTCACGTCAAAGGTCCAGGTGTTGGATCGGTTTCGCGAGTTCAAGGCCCTCGCTGAGACTCAGACGAGTTACAAGGTCAAGTGTCTCCGTAGTGACAATGGAGGCGCGTACACCAGCAAGAGGTTCAACCAGTTCTGCGCGTCGAGCGTCTGGGACTGTGAGGATCAACGACTTGTGAAGACTCGCACGGTGACGCTGGACGAGCGCCCGCCGTCTCGCTACCGCGATGTTGTTCTCATTGATGGTGGCCGTGATTCAAGGAACGTGACTGCGGATGATGACGACGACTGGGGTGCCCACACCTCCTACTGAATCCACTGCGGACATGGAAATTGATGAAACGGGTGAACAGGTGACGGGCATGGAGGTGGAACCAGCACCTGGCGCGGTTGTTTCGCTTGCGGGGGGCTCCTCGGTAATGCAGCCGGATGGCAGCATGCTTCCAAGCGAAACTATGAGAAGAAGCCCTAGAAGTGAGGTTGACTTGCGCGCTGATCGTCCCAGTGGTCTACTGCCCACTATCGCTGAGCCTAATCAAGTCCCTCGACTTCCTACACCCTCCTCCTCTCGAGCGATTGCTGCATTAGAATCGGCCAGGGCCTTGCCGTTCAGCGAAAACCGAATCGTCTTCAGTGGTGGATCAAGACCTGGCCGTGCCGCGAGAAGTGATTAGGCTCGACTTCTGACCAATGGAGATGATGATCGTGTTGGTGCTGATAGCGAAGGCGATGTTCCGTTGCTTGCCAACGAGCCACACATGAGCCCGGAGCATGACAGCGAGGTCGGAGAGCCAGACTCCAAGCGCCCTCGGCTCGACGAGTATGAGATCGCCTTGGCCGCGACGGATGTGCCTGGGAGTTACGCTGAAGCCATGTCTTCGCCGGAGGCTAAGCAGTGGAAAGAGGCCGTTCGAAAGGAGATCAGGGCTCACATTCGCAATCACACTTGGGATATGGTCAGGCGTCCTCACGGCGTGAAGGTAATCGGCTGTAGGTGGGTGTTTTCCTACAAGTTTGACGAGCATGGAAACATTGTGCGCTACAAAGCTCGACTCGTCGCTCTCGGTTGTCTCCAGACTCGTGGCGTCGACTACTACTACACCTACTCGCCGGTCGCAAGCACCAACACCATCCGCGTGTTTCTCTCTGTCTGCTGCAGCAAGCGTCTGAAGATCCGACAGTTCGACATTGAGACGGCTTTTCAAAATGGAACGCTCGACGTGGATGTGTACATGGCGGTGCCTCAAGGTGTTCGTGCTGATGGAGGTCTGGTGTGTAAGCTGCCACGAAGCCTCTATGGACTGAAGCAGGCCGCAGCTGTGTGGTTCAAGACTATCCGAGCAGCGTTCGTGGAGATGGGCTTCGTTCAGTGCCGTGCCGATCCCTGCCTCTTTGTTCGTCTTGGCAAGAATGGCCAGTCTCCTGTGTACATTGTCCTGTATGTGGATGACCTTCTGGTGGGCTGCGCTACGGACGCTGAGGCCGACAAGATTTGTGCTGCACTAAGTTCACGTTTCACGGTGAAGTCGCTGGGAGATGCCCGATATGTGCTTGGAATGGAGATCGAGTACGCACGTGACAAGGGGGAGTTGGTGGTGAGGCAGACGCAGTTCATCAAGCGGATGCTCGCGCGCTTTGGTCAAGTTGAAGCCAACTCAGTCCGAAACCCCATGGTGCTAGGCCAGGATTTCGCCCCTGATGACTCCCATGACACGTTCGAGGATGCCCGCACTTACCGCGAATTAATTGGGTCTCTGCTGTACGTCGCGAATGCAACGAGACCTGATATTAGCGCTGTTCTCTCATCGCTGTCGCAGTACCTCGACTGCCCGCGCGAGATGCATTGGCGTGCTGCTCTTCGGGTTCTACACTACAGCTACTCGTGGCATTCGGTTTTGCTGCGAGTCGGGCGACCGAACAGGTATCCGTGCCTATGCTGATGCCAACTGGGGTGGTGACAAGCAGACTCGTCGCTCTACATCGGGTGTTTTGCTGCTGCGTGGTGGTGGACCAGTTGTCTACAAAAGCAAGCGCCACACCACAGTCGCCTTGTCGTCGGCAGAGGCAGAGTACATGGCGCTTTCGCTTGCTGCCCAAGACGTGCTCTGGCTGAGGTACTTGCTGGTCGAGATGGGGTTCAAGTCTGAAGGTCCGACCACGCTACAACTGGACAACAACTCGGCGATTGCAATGGCCGCAAACAAGCGATCTACGAGCGCACTTTGTGCGCGATCATGTCGAAGCCGGACGGATCAAGCTAAAACATGTACCCACGGAGGAGCAGCTGGCCGACTTCCTTACCAAGGCGGTGCCAACACCGCGTCTGATGCAGCTGTGCAATGCAAGCGGGGTCGTCGACGTGCAAGTTGAGGGGGAGTGTTAAGGATTTGCTGGTCCTGTCTACGAGTACGGAGAAAGGCAACTTGCCGTGCGTTCCAGAGTGTTGGTCATGGAAGCGTCGAGGACATTCTAGAAGATGTTGGTAAGTTCGCTCTGTGTAGGACACGTGGACAAGTTAGCCAGGAAACTCGTAATTCGATCAATCACTTTCCATTCTGCGCTGCAATTGACAACCATTTCAACCTCAGCCAGCCAATCACAACGGCACTAAAACTCTATTGCTTTAGCCCGCATTTGAGTAATACTTCACAGCCTAGCTACATTCAGTTCTCCAGCACCACGCGGTAGCGCACCGTGCCGTCGCGCACCATCTTGATGCCCTCGTTCACCTTGGCCATGGGCAGCTTCTGAATCACGGGGCGGACGTTCGCCTTGGACGCCACCTCGAGCATGTCCTTGATGTCCTGGATGCTGCCGATGTTGCTACCCACGAACTTGGCGCCCTTGCCCACCACGCCGAACGCGTTAAACTTGACGTCGTCGTTGGGAAGACCCACCATGATGCATGAGCCGCGCACGGCCAGGAAACTCAGGAACAAAGTGTACGGCATGTTGTCGGCGTTGGCGCAGATCAGCAGCACGTCCACAGATCCGGCAGCTGCGGCAGCCTGCTTCTCGTCCGAGTAGACCACGAACTCCGTCGCGCCGAGGGCGCGCACCTCCGCCTCCTTGTTGGCCGAGCGAGAGAACGCCACAACAGCGTCGGCACCCATGGCCTTTGCGAACTGGATACCCAGGTGACCCAAGCCACCGATGCCCACGACACCCACGCGCTTGCCAGGCTTCACGTCGGCCTCCTTCAGCGGCGTGAACACCGTCGCGCCGGCGCACAGCAGCGGCGCGGCAACGTCCGACGGGATGTTGTCCGGGATCTTGAAGGCGTACTCGTGGGCCACGCGTACGTAGTCAGCGTAGCCGCCGTACGAGGTGGCGCCGTCGTTCTTGTACGTGTCGTTGTAGGTCCACACATTGTGCGCGCAGTATGCGTCGTCGCCGCTGGCGCACTCCTTGCAGGGAGCAGCAGGGTCCTTGTTGAGACAAGCCCAGACCTGGGCGCCCACACCAACACGGTCGCCGACCTTCAGGCCCTTCACCTTCTCGCCGGCCAGGGTGACCTCGCCGACGATCTCGTGGCCAACCACGCACGGGTACGTGGACGGACCCCAGCCGCTCTCAATGGTGTGCAGGTCGGAGCCGCAGATACCGCAGTGCGAGATCTTGATCTCGATATCCTCGGGGTAAAGCGGGCGCGACTGGTACTCCCACGGCTTGATCTCCTCGTCCTTGCCAAAGGCGGCGTAAGCGTGCACGGTTCTCGGGGCGGTGGGCATCGCTGTTCTTGTTGCTGTCTGCTGCTGAGGTGGCAAATTGCAAAGTGAGCTTTTGCTGAGCAGCGTGTGGTGGAGTTCGCTTGCAGCCATGCTGGCTGCTTGCGCATGGCATCCTGTCTAGCTAATCTCCAGCCGATGATCCAATCCATGTACAAGTGGTCCACTTGAAGTGGATCATGGTCACCAGATGACTGGTCATAGGCATGTTGTAAATTCAATCTTGACCTTCCTAGCCCTTTAGCTACCGGCCACCGATGGGTCCATAGGGACCCGTAAGAGAGGCAAATCCACGATTTCTATTGGACGAAATTGTTGCTGGCCATAAGACGAGCCATCCTCGTATCGGACAGGGGTCCATTGGGACCCCTACCGTGTGCTAGCGGATTCGGTTCGTAACAAGCTGATATCAACGGAAAAATGCCATTCAGGTTTTTGGCGACCGGCCAGCACATCGGAACAATGGAAGCAGGAGTTGGCGGAGATTGGAACGCGCTCGAGCTTCAACAGGACTACAGCATCGAGGACATTGCACTCGAAGCGCTCGTCGACGACTGGGACCGCCTAGTGCACGCAGATCCCACCCTCGATGGCGCTGACGACGAGCAACACAGCGCTGATGACGAGCATCCCGACGCCAGTGACAGCAGTCTACAAGGCGGTGCAGTTTGCGGCGCAAGTGGCCATGCATCGAGGAGGCGCTGTGGACGTGTATCTCGGGGATGCTGGTGGTGTGCGTCTCAACAGTACCACTGACGTGCAGCACACCACCATGCAATGTGGCGCGGCCGACGCGCAAGCGCAGCTCGGTCCATCACAGCCCCGCGATGTTGAAGGAGAGCACGGCGTGCAGCCGGCTCCGTCTACCGCAAGCAGAATTGGTGGATCAAGCCGTATGCAGTCGCTGCTGCACGTAATATACCCACCATCGTGTTGTCCGGCCAAAGTTGGTTGAGGCGTCGAGTGATGCATGCTGGGGCGTCCCCCTTCATGTTTCCGTTTTTAGCATAGAGATACAATCGACGCAGCGATATGCGGATAGCACGGTTGCGGTGCCTCTTTCTCGCCAGCTTGCCCTGCAGACGCTTTCCTGCCTCCTCGAGCTCGCCACCATAGCGCAGCCAGTCGCACTCCGGTGCGCCGCACCAGCCGCACATGCTCTCGACGCTCTCGACGCTCTCAACGCGCTCGACGCTCTCGACGTCCTCCATGTTAAGAACACGAGGGGAAATCAGATTTGAGGGGGATGTTGATTTCAAAGGAAACCGGCCATTCTCGTGATCCCTCTGATTGGTTTAAAAATTCAAATGCAACGATTTGATAGGCTCTGGAAGAGGTCCAAGTGGACCCCTCAGGAATGGTCTGTTAGCTAAAGGGCTAGTTTGGTTTGCACAGAGCAGAGGACTCTTCAACAATGCATTCCTGTACCAGCAGTACAGTACTACAGTATCTTGCTACTGTAGCAAGAATCTTGTATCAAGTTGCACATGTGGAACTGCTTGCAGGTGCGAAGCAACGTGCACAATGAGCTGTACTGATTTCCTTTGTCGTCCGCAGAAGCGTTAATGAGGTCAAACGATCCTTCCTTGGGCCAGGAACTTCACTCACCAGCGTCGAGCACTGGCATCAACATGCATAACCGAGTCTTAATCGATACCACTCCGTTTCAAAATGAAAGCACGATTGGCGTCAAAATGCGCCCTCCAAATCAATTTTCAACGTTTTCGCGTAAAAATTGCACCACTTGAACTGCTGAATTCTCCTCTTTCAATTGATGTGCTAGTTTACCTGAACCGTTTAGAATTGACCTTTGTACACTTGAATATCGTGTGGCTAGTAGGCTTTTATCTTCGGAAATGCACAAGAAAGTACAAGTCATCCGTGATTTGAAGATGTCAGTAATCCCTCCCATACTCAAACCAAGTCTTTTTTCGTGCTATCTTTCTGAAACAACCTTCACGGTGAATCATGCTTTCTATTTGAAACGGAGTGGTACAGTACATGTACCTTGAACCATGACCACGGCATATTAATAATGCCCCAAGCAATTTAGTTTCACGAAACTCCTGCGAGTCATCTCCAAATTGTGCCGAGTCAGCTCAACGTGGCATCCAATGGATACTATCCATAAAGTACATATTGATATGTACCAGGCTGGTACAAACACTCCGGTGGAGACTCTCCACTGGAGAGTCTACATGTAGAATCTAGGATAGATCAGCGAAGGAAAGACCCGGTGTCGCAGGCAGGTTCAACGTGAGCTCAGCTGACTCGCCCATCTGGGCCCCGCCCTGGCACGTTCAATCAAGATGAGTGTGCTTGCATAAATCGATCACCGCTTACTTTACCGGTAATGCCAGCCAAGACTTTCGGCCGAAGCGTGGCACGCGCACAAGAGTTTTGGTTATCCGGATAGGCTGTGTGGCTTGCCTTGGCTGTGCATTAACTGTAAGCCGATCGCAGGTTAGGTGACGTGGGTATGACGCGATCAAAACCGTGGGCGGCGTGCGTCCTTGGGTCAAAGCAGTCATTTGGAGGAGTCTATTTAACTTACGGCTTACAAGATTGTCTGGAATGTCCTTAGCAGCGCTGGTACGTAGCTCGCCTCGTGTCGAGGTGCCTCTCTTGGGGTCTGCTGGACGAAGCAGGCAAAAGTCGACGTCACGCGCGTCGACAAACTGAAGAAAGTAACTGAAAACCCTTCAAATTCTATACCCCCTAAAATCACTTTGGTTATATCCCTTTTCTCTGTCTAATTTTCTCTTCAATACCAGTTACACCTGTTAAATCGGTTACTTCAGACACGGTACGCTCCCAGCTACAAAGCCCACGCGAAACCGCCGCTTGGGGCTACAGCCGTTGCAGTCTCCGCTAACGCTAACGATTTGCCACAAATCAATTTTCGGACCGCCAAGGCACAACAGGAGGCACCACACCATCTGCTCATGTCGGCCGCACCTCGCTCCATCAAGGCGCTCGCCTGCTTCGGCAAGAGCGAGCCCGTCCAGCCCTGGGAGTACGAGTCCCGCCCGCTGGGCCCCGAGGACGTGGAGATCAAGATCTCGCACTGCGGCATCTGCGGCTCGGACCTGCACGTGATCGACAGCGGCTGGAAGCCCACGCTGTACCCGTGCGTGGTGGGCCACGAGATCGTGGGCCAGGTGACGCTGGCCGGCGAGCAGGTCAAGGAGCTCAAGGTGAGCGACCGCGTGGGCGTCGGCGCGCAGGTCTGGGCCTGCCTCAACAAGGACCCGCAAGGACTGCGCCAAGGGCGCCGACGCCTACTGCTCGGGCATCGTGGGCACGTACAACTCCAAGTACAAAGACGGCAGCAAGACCTACGGCGGCTACGCCGAGTACGTGCGCGTGCTGGGAGCCTACGCCTTCAAGATCCCGGAGAGCATCCCGTCGGACGCTGCGGCCCCGCTGCTGTGTGCTGGTACGACGGTGTTCACGCCCTTCAAGGAGGAGGGCGTGAAGCCTGGCGACCGCGTTGGTATCGTGGGCATTGGCGGTCTCGGCCACCTGGCGATTCAGTTCGCCAAGGCCATGGGCGCCGAAGCCGTCGTGGCCTTCTCCCGAGGTGCGCTCGCTGGGCGCAGACGAGTTCGTCAACTACTCGGACCCGGAGTAGGCCAAGGCGGCCGAGGGCTCCGTGGACATCCTGCTCGTGACGGCCGATGCCGACGGCATGCCGTATCAACTGTTCCTGAGCTTCCTCGCGTCGCGCGGCACGTGCATCATGGTGGGTCTGCCCAACGAGTCACACCCCGGACACGAGGGTCACCAACTGCTCGTTTGGACCCGCATCTGCTCTACGTACGCCTACCGCGGTCCTACCGAGGCTTCGTTATGTCGTTTGACGGGTCTGCGAAGACCGAGAAGAACGGTGGATACGGCAGTTGCTCGTGGATACTATGGAAGCTACCAGAGTGGACAGTAGAGCTTGCTGCGAGCGTTTACCTCGAGAACACCACGGTCAACCACGAGGTCAAGTTCAAGCCTGCTCAGGTGGTCATGAAGGGCGCCAAGTTCGTGGGCAGCCACATTGGCAGCATCCAGGACGTGCTGGCGCTGGCGGCGAAGAAGAACGTGCGCCCTGTGATCCAGAGGCTGCCCATGAGCAAGGCCAACGAAGGCATCCAGATGCTGCGCGATGGCAAGGTCCGCTACCGTGTCGAGCTTGAGAACTAGAGGAGTAAGGTACTGTTCGTTCAGGAAATGGTAGATAGGAACGCATCGTGGTTCAACACTGCCTTTTTGTATTGAGCATTAATACCGTTTGCCTATTCTGTTTCGATGTCGCCGTTGCTGCTGTCGCTATCCTCAATGGCGTAGTTCGGCTTGCCGATGTACACGTACATGAGGATCGCGATGATAACTGTGACTACAGCTGCAATAAGTGCCGGGTTCTGCCGGACGCGCGCCACCAGCGCAGCGACCTTGCTCGTCTCGGCAGTGTCCGCAGGCTTGCTGCCTCCCAGCTTCGCGTACAGCTTCCTCTCGAGCGCCTTCTGGTCGCGCTTCTTCTTCTTGAGCTGCACCAGCAGCTGCCGCACCTTGGCGTTCTTCGGCTCGATCTCCAGAGCCTTGCGCAGGAACATGTTGGCCTCGTCGAACTCGTTCTGATCAAGCGCGATCTGGCCGATGCGGTACATGGCCTTGACGTTGGTCGGCTCCAGCTGCAGCACCTCCAGGCTGGACTGGCGCGCCTCCTTGTACTGCTTGAGCTTGTGCTGCACGTTGCCCACGTTGTTGCCCAGCGCGATGAGCAGCTCCTTGCACTGCGCGGCGTCCTCCTCCGAGTGCTCCCACGTCTCCAGCAGCTTGAGCGCGCGCTTGTAGAGCTTGGCCGCCTGCTCGTAGTTCTTCTCCTTGAAGTAGCGGTTGCCGCTCTCCTTCTTCTGCGTGGCCTCAACGATCAGCTCCTGGGAGCTCATCTCGGCCGTGATCTTCTTCCCCACGCGGCAGAGCTCCACCACGAGCTTCATCTCGGCTCCGGGGGGCACGTGCGGCTCCAGCCCCACGTCTCCGTAGGCGAAGCGAGCGTCGCAGCGCACCTCACACACTTCTCCGACGTGCATCATCTTGGCCACGAGCTCCAGCGCTGCGGCACGAATAAGCAAAGGCTAAAAGTTAGCTGCAGGCTCCCTAATCCGTAGAGGAAAATGTGTCCATGTCGTACCAGGCATCACCTCGCCGTCTCCGATGCGGAACTTCCTGGCCTCATCACTCACCACCTTCTGCCCGGTCTTGAGCACCCACGTCGAGTACTTGACGCCCACTTCCTCTCCGAATTCTGCAGCGTAAAGGGATCCACGTGTCAGTGCTTGAGACTTTGCGAGCGATATCTACGCAGATACAATGGCCACGAATACGGGGGCTTCACGGCCGCGTTACCTGCTTGGATGCCGTCCGTGTTGACCGTCAACATCTTGCGGAAGATGCCTCCGCTGCCCAGGACATCGTCGAACCCCTCGCGCTCGGACTCGCTGATCGTCACCATGATGCCGTTTGTGTCGAAATTCTGAAATGGTCCGATTTGCGAATGATCAAAATATGAGACATATTTGATTACGGTCGAAACCCGAAATGGCAACATTTGTGTTGTTATCGCAGTGCGAAGTTTGCACAGACAGACAACTTGGCCGAGTTGGCGGAGTCAGCGGCCAAGGACAGTAGGCATTAAAAGGCAAGTCGATTTAACTGACGGCTCATGAAACTTTAAAGCGTACTGCTTGCGGGGAGAGCAGACATGGCAACGATGTAGACGAAGTTTACGTGCATGGTTGAGACGTTGAGAGTGCTGCTGGAGGCTGGGTATCGCGGAGCAATTTGCGGAATGAAGAAATTGTGGCGTGGGGCTTCCTTTCGTGGGTCCTGGACGATTATTAATAATTAGTATGACTATTGCTAAAATTTCACAGTTATTTTTGTAACCGTTTTTTTAAATTTTCTTCTGTAGTAAACGATGCTGGTCAAAATGACACACTCAAACTACTTTTTTTTGATCCTTCAATTATACTGTTCAAAATATAATTGACGGATCCGAAAAAAAACTTAAATGAATCTAAAGATTGCTAATAAAACCCTCCAAGCCGACAACTCTAAAGTTTCAAAAGTTTTGTGTTTTTAATAGACAGAAACATATGTTAGTTTCAATCTAAAATATGATATAGAAACTAGTTTGTATACGAAAATGTTATGCTATAAAATTCTGTTTTGTTACTTTTTTAAAAAAAAGCAGAACTTTATAGTGTCCGTGTTTAACAATCATGGCTACTAAAGTTAATTCCTTTCAAAAATATGAATATGTTTTCACGATATTTTATTATGACTGGGTTTTTCCTACTACAAGTTAATTTGAATTGGATTGCCCATGTACCCAGGGCTCGTACACGATACCTCCGTTAAACTAGAGGCGAAGCTTTGGTCTGGGAGGACAGTGTATAATTCCTTTGTGTGCAAACGTGGGGTAGGCAAGAGTAATGTAAAATGAAAATTGGTGGCAAGTTTTCAAACCCTGGTGTAGCGCCTTCCTGGCAAAAAATGGGAAGTTGCCGTGCAAAAGACACGAAAGAAGTTAATGGCGCGCCTTTGGCCCCGGCCGAGCGCGTTGACGTCATGCATTCCAGCTATACACATTTACACAAGAAGGATTCATGGGGTTTAGAGCGGGGCCAAAACGAAGCCAAAACCATTGGCGCGAACAGACGCAGGAAAAAGAGCAATCCGTTAGTTGTTATTTCAATAATTTTGAGTAAATGTTAGTTTTTAAGGAGAAAATGCAGCTATCCTATTAATGATTTTCCGAATAAATTTCATCAATTCAAGAACTGCTCACTACAGTGTGTGGTACACACTACGGATACAGTCGACATTCTGGGAACAACAAGCCACGAAATGTACAAACTTTGTGATGTTACGGTAGCCATAATCTGTGGACTATGGACTCAGGCGAAATTTGCCAATTAAAGTTGGGGGGAGGGGGGGCTCCCGGCCGCTGAAATAAAATTGGTTAGGCTGTTCAGCCAGCTAAAGCTGTCCTCCCAGTATAAGACGTAGATATGCTATTGCCGCTAGCAAATACTTTGTACTCTAAAATAGACCTCTAAAATAGACCACGCCTGTCTCTTACTATGAGTGGACACGAGATAGGCGAGGGCTGTTTTAGCTTTGTGCTTTGGTGAAGGCCGCTTTTAGCCAGAAACTCGGTTTGGCCCGTCTAGAATGGCATTTCTGCGTTTCCAAGCCGCAGAAAAACGTTTTGGTCGGGAAAACAGAGCCCCAAGCTTGCATGGTAGACCAGTATTGTGCTTTGCAGTTATTTTGCCGACCATTTTAGACGCTAAATATGGCAAAGCCTGCTCCTAAATATGTGTGAAAGAAGATACACGACCTGCTAAAATTATGCATAAATCCACCTCCTCATATATATATCGACTTGGGAGGGCCTGTCAGCAGCCATGCATTGGCCCAGTACACCACCGTCCATGATACCCAGCACATCCACCCTCTTATGCATAATTGCCGTGTGTGTAGGTGCTTGTGGGTAAAAACCGACAGAATTGCAGCTGCACAGCCACAATTGCACTTTCAAAAGTGCAATTGTGGCGCTTTTAGCGTAGTTCTAGGCCTCCACCCATTTATGCACCTCGATTTATCGTAAATCTAGCAGGTGGTCGCTATAAATACAGCAAATCTCGCCTCATATTGCCAAAATCATTCCAAAGCACAATAGTGGCGATATATATATGTAAATCAGACCTAGGTCTTAATTAAGAGCTGGCTGGATTAAAATCGAGATTATTGACGAGATAATAAGCATGCGTTGGCCAAAATATTTGCAAACGGCAATATGTGTAATACATCATTATGCGCTTTCTGGATGGTATCCAGGAAGTGTACCCCAAGTGGTCTCGCAACATCTCGAACCCAGAGTACATGTACTTATGCATCCGCAAGTTCCTTGGGCAGGAATACGAGACGCACGTGATATCCATGAGGAAGATAGAGTTCTACGGTAACGTTGACGCGACAATGGATCACCTTCTCGCGCCCCGTTTGGAGTCGTTTGACATAGTTGCAAATACCTTAAAATACTATTGAGTTTGTTAGGAGGACGACCGGACGACGCTCAGGGCTACGTAAAATTTGCAATAGTAAAGATGAATATCTAGATGCCTGGAACTACGGGGAGGACAAGTGTCCAGCTTCGTTCAGCACCTTGGCCAGGTGGACGGGCCAGGTCACACGTGACCTTGTGATGAACTGGATTGATCGGGGAACGCAGCGGGCAGCACAGCATCCGGTTTAGACCCGCACTGGTACGCTAGCGCTGTCTCGGAGCCGCTGCGAACGTAAACCAGCGGAGGGAATTCGTCGCGGCGTCTTCCAGGACTTCATGCACGTCGACGAACAGCGGGTCCGGGAACTGAGCTGGCAGCGCATCACCTGGTTGCAGCCCCAGCAGCAGACGCGAATCAAACTTGACGTTGCTGTTCGGGGCAGCCACATAATGCGGGACCTGCGCGGGAAGTCTGTCGCCATGGTGCTCGACCCAGTAGGGAGAATATTTTTATCTGTTGCTAATTTACTGGTTCATCTGTTGCGGGCAAATCAGCGGAAAATCTGTTGCCCATGTCGGTTTATCTGTTCCGTGGTGTAGGGGACGAAAGCAACAGGTTTTCGGTACGGAAATCCTGCGACAGATTACATGTCGAGTTGACTCGGTATCTGTTGCCTTTGTTGTGCTTATGCATCGAGTAAGAGCACCCCGCTATTGCTCAGGAAGGTGATGCATGAACTTGTGGTATTCCATTTCGGGGACTATGGCGAGCTCAGCGGTCTGCTACGGATTTATTCTGCGATAGTCATTCCTTAACTTTGCAAGCAGCTTGAGTTATTGTTGCATGCAGATGATAGCTTACCGTTCCCCTTAGAGGCCAATGAGGACTGTGACTTCTGGCGCAGGCGTGCTACGACATCAGCAGCACAGGTATGGCAAGTCAACGTCGCTACGGGTGCGCTCTTGACGTCCAAGCCTATCGCGAAGAGTGTGTGACCTGTTTTAAAGCGCATGAGGTGCTACTGGACCAATTGGTGCCAGGGATGAGTTACAGCTTCTTCAGTGTTTCCAAGGATTTAACAGCAGACCACGCGCTTACGGGTCGATCCACGAGGTGAAGGATCACTGCGATGAGCGTCACGTTGTCCTCCTAGTCATTGTGTGAGTCATAACGATCAGAGCGGTCATAACGACCCCCATAGCCATCATCACAGGAAGAACGGCCTTGGTCGTAAGAGCGGTAGCCCTGAGGGTCGAATTTGTCATAGCCATAGCCCCAATTGTAGTAATGAGAGCCGTTGTGTCCGTGGTAGCCCCGATCGCGCGCGTACTTAAGTATGCGTGAAGTCATCGGACGGAGGTGTCGACTCACGTCCGCTGGGTAGTACTATGTAGTGCACGTGGCCACTGATAGTGACATTAACGGAACAATGCATTAACACGAGCATCCGTCGGCCACGCCGACAACAGCTTCGGAGCTGCGAGTGGCTACAGTACCGTAGATGTCACCGCTGCCCTTCGTCTAAGTTACGGGGTTGCACGATGTAGTTCACTCCAGTCTGCGGGACTTTAGGATCTGCTCTCGTCATCCACTGTCGCTCTCGATCTCCATACTCTCTTTATCCGCATAGATTTTTGTTTGAGCTAAAACTCATATTACAGCGCCAAACGGTTGAGTACGCTTGCTACTGGACTGCAGGCAGCATCCAGGAGACCGGCTCCATGATCACTAGGTTCGATGAGGAAGCGAAGTACGACTTGTACTACCGAGTACTTCGGAGTGTTTGGAGCGTGGGCACAACAGACTATGGCGACTCGTACTCATGGACTGGACTTCCTCCGGGTGCTTCCTGAGGTAGTAGAGTGCAAAGCTACCCCCTCGTGCGAAGAGCGTGGGCACTAGACAGTGAGTCCTTCAGTACTATGTATTCGCGACGTGTACAAGCTCGCACAGGGGCAAATGCCTTGGCGGCTACATAACAACGAGCGAAGAAGAGCTATTGGAGACCACGCAACTATTATTTATCTTAGTCACATGCACAGGTAAGCAAGCTCATCTCGCGTTCTTGTGTACAGGTGAACGTGGCCCAACCATCTAAATCAAGATCCAGCGCAATCCAAACTTGGCCTAGTCCGAGGCGGATCACAAGTCCGCGCCCGAAGAGGGGTTGCCTGCACCAGAGCAACAGTAATTCGAGTAAGATGCAGTGCATGTAGAGCGAGGCGCAATAGATCCGATGCCTGAAGACGTTGAGGTGATGCGGGACTGTACAGGAGCCGACGCCAGACGCGGAAAATGTGCAGCGTAGCATCTTTTGGAGCTGGAGGACGGTGTTATGACCTTCAAGTAATAAATCTACTGCTATGACCATCCTACTTTCACATAGCCTTCGCGAAATTCATGCGAGTCCTTTAAAAGAATCCTATCAAGCATCGACCGCCTTCGGATAAATAGCAGGGGTGCTCTTACTCGATGCATAAGCACAACAAGTACTCACATAGGCAACAGATATACCGAGTCAACTCGACATGTAATCTGTTGCAGGATTTCCGTACCGAAAACCTGTTGCTTTCGTCCCCTACACCACGCAACAGATAAACCGACTCGGGCAACAGATTTTCCGCTGATTTGCCCGCAACAGATGAACCAGTAAATTAGCAACAGATAATAATTACTCCCCGACCCGGTAGAACTTGTAGCTGGCGTTCGTCAGTCCCTCATCCACGGCCACAGGATCGTGTGGCTGCTATCCTCTCTGTCTTCTGCAATGCTCTCGGCCCACGCAAGTGACGTTATATTGAAGGCTCCCCCGAGGTTGAGCCAACTACATATACCGCTGGACAACGATAAAGCTAATGGTCTTCCTGGCACAACGGGTTTAACTATTAGGTTTTATTTTAAACTTAAGTATAGTCAAACCTGTCAACCTGCAAAAAGTGTCAATAGGTTTTACTGCGTATGGTGGTCAATTGGCCGAACAGTCTAAGGCGGGGAGTCACTGAATTTCAAATCGATTTCAGGTCGCAGAGAGAAAAAAAATTGGGGACCCGGGCAATGAGGCCCAGAGATTCGCAGTTCTCGACGAAAAGAAGAAAAGTGTGGAAGAAGGAGATGCAGAGGCGAGCGCTCCTGCAGAGCTTCAGGGTTAAAAGTTAGGCATGGATGTTGCCCACGAAGAAAAAAAAAGAAACGCGAAGCAGGCGCACACTCGATGTCTGGGAAGCACCAGGGTTGAGCTAGGGGACTTACGTAAAGGAAGTAGTGACTCGTCAACAAGGTCAAATACCAAGCACACAGCTGCATTTATTGACTTGATCAACTTCAGAACGATTGACCCATGGTTGCCTTGATTTTGGTTCTTATGCAGATCAGGTCCAGGATTTGAACATGCTGATTGTGAGACCGAATCAAAAGACCTGAACCAAACAGCCACAGCTTTGGATCATGGCATGACTGGGTTCCTTAGCGCGTGCTCCGCTCGGCTTCCTACTCTAGCAACAGTTCGTGGTGCTGTATCTACGTGAAAGGGTGTGCATTTTGGCCGGTTACCTTGGCTCGATAGGTATTTTGGCAGTAGATCGTGTTCAAAAGCATTGTATTCACTGCTTACATGGACTATCACCTACTACACTGTATCGGATAGGTAGAACGAGTCGCCGCAGCAGTCGAACATGCCTCCCTTTCCTACTTCTCTTGACAGCAAGATTCATTATCTGCAATAGCACACGCTGTTCATGTTTCTAGTGGTGCTCAAAGTCCAATGCAGTTGCTGCAGTGCGTGCATTGTATCCCATTCGCGACTGGTGTTTTTTTAGTCAAAGCAGTGCACACCTGGTTTGGTTTCCGTTCACACTCTCAGCATCAACTCTCCACTGTTGGCAATTAGCACATATCTTGTAAAATTAGTTTACCAACAAGTAGAAGGTACATGTACTTTAGAATTATGTAGCCTAGCTACGGCATGTGATCGACATGTTTCACTCCTGCTTGACTAGGAGAAATATATAGCGTTTCAGCTCGTAGCGAGGTGCCACAGCCGCAGCACGGCAACAAACTCTCCAAAGCGAAGACGTTGCACTGCGACCAACCTTACCAGCAGACGGAGTAGCAGACGGAGTAGCAGCAGCAGCAGCAGCGCGGCGACAGGACGTCCGACGCAGCCTCTTCCACTGTGCGCCCACCTCGTCGGGCTCCGCATCCTCATGCGTGGATCTCAGGCACCACCTGACGCGCACCTGCGAGCGGGAGCCAAGCTCGCTCACGGTGACAGCCAAAGGTGCGCGTTTCCGCTCGACTCGGAGCCCAACGGCGGTGGCAGCCTGAGCACGTGGCAGGAGTGGCGCACGGCGCAGCGGTCAGCTACGCCGACTTGGACAACAGGGCAGCAACGATGTATCCGGATACCTGCGTGGACTTGACGCGTCACTTTTCGCGTCCTCGCCCACCAAATAGTATAGCTTGCACAGCGCAGTATGGCCCATCGATTCCATAAGCCACTTCCTGGCCGACTACTGCTTGTGCTCTTCTGACGCATCTTGCCCACCTGCTGCCCACTACGATGGTGCTGCTACATCTTCTCGGCCTCTCCCATGGCCTCCTTGCTGCTCTGCTGGTGGTGCTTGCGCTCGCTTACCCTGGAGCTCTTCAAGGCGAGGATCTTGCTCGTCTTCCTCCGTCCGACGCATGCCGTTGCGGTGTTGCAGGGGCAGCGGCCCGGGGTGCTGCAACGGCTCGGTCCGTGGCGATGTGGCTCGGGCATCACCGAGGCGCAGACAGAGGTTAGGAAGCTTGGGTCGTGGTAGGCGCTCGGCTGAGGTTTCAAAGTGAGACTGGTCGTCAAAGCATGGCAAATGTGATCCAATCACAAGTTCAAACTGCATAAGACCCATTTAAAAATCTTCCTGACCCATAAGCCCAAAATATTTTCGCATGGAACAGTCGGTCACAACTTAAAACACGACACCGTCAGCTGTAAGTGCATTATTCTGTCAGGAAACAGCAATAATGTTTCCTATGGTTCGGTATGTAGGGAGTAGCAGCAAATTCGGAAGGTGTCTTCAGAACCAAGCCGCTCCGACAAAAATGTAGTATTCGTGCTACCTAATACGAATTTTGGCCGGATGGCTCCATTTATTGATTTGATTTTAGAGATGTAGCTCACGCCAAAGGTTCGGAGCAGCAAACGGAAATTAGGCACATGGCGAAGATGAAGAAACACGCTTCAAATTGGGTCATGACAGTCGATCTGGTGTGATCGTGGGAATTCCACAGCGGCCAAAGTATCATTTACTTTGACTCCAAGTGCAGTCCCAATCCAACTGCGGATCGATATCGATTTACATGTATTAATAAAGCAAACAGGCATGTTCCTTCCTCTAGTCTTCAAGTATCGTCGATGCAAGCGATGGAGTAGGTATCAACTGTGAAAAACAGCATCAGCCTTACCTCCTTATTTGATCGACAAAGATTGGCCATAAGTTCGAGGGGAAGTATATCAACGGGACGATTCCCATGCTCCAACACTGCCTCTACCATACTAATCACCGTGGGGGATGAATATGCTAATCATTACTCGTAGTTAAGTTGAGTGAACGTGGAATTCTAACAAGTGAGAATGAAATCTTCTAATAGATTGGGAGCCTGGGCCAACTCATTTATTTTTAATAAAATAAGACGTTGCGTCCTTACGGTAAACTTCGTCTGTCGATATATACTTCAAGCTTACTGTGCTGTACTGTAGTCGCATACTCTATAGGAGCCCAAACGGGAGTCTGGCTCGCATTCAGTTGTATTCGCCATACGGACCCGTACTGAAGAGGCAAACGTACAGCAACACCAACGATCTCTGATCTGCCGAGCAGAAGTCAATGCTGCAGTGCCGGCTACTAACTGGTCTAAATTCATGAGCTGGGAGGTTGAGTTTAATGTAAACTTGTTTTTTCGCTATCCATCGCGATACTTCCATTTGTTCTGACAGCACTACAGCAGCGTAGGGCGAGCGAGATAGCCGAGAAGAAGAACGCAAGAGGCAAGTGTTGTTTCCCACGGCAGCTTGGGATTGAGGAGGAGAAAACCTCGTAGGTGACAACCCCCTCTAAGTTAAACTATAGTATACTAGACTCAAGATGCAACGTGAGTCAATCTTACTGCATACTAAAGCACAGTCAATGAATGCAGCAGAGCTCGACCGCCACTATCAACACTGACACTCCTACTTCGAGATCCACAACACCTCATCGCGATACTTGCTTACGAAGCATTGCTGCACTCCATCACAGGCAGCGGCAAAACGTTCAAAAGCCTACGGAGCTTGCAGAACTGTGTAGGTCCAAGCGGCTTCGTAAAAAGGTCAGCAAGCATATCCGTTGTAGGGCAGTATATCACATCAAAGTCACCTCGTTCATAGAGATCCTTGACCTTGTGATACTTCCAATCAACACCCTTGACCTTGAAATTGCCTTTGGTGGACTTGATGACTTTGATCGTGGACTGATTGTCCTGGAACAGCAAAGTTGGACGGCGACGACGGACTTTCAGCTCCTCGCAAAGGTTGTGAGTCCACATAATCATCACCGAGCACTCAGCAGCAGCGATGAACTCAGCACTGCATGTGTCGTCCTGGGCAATGGACTGCTTGTGCATAGGTGCACCCATTCATTTGAAGAACATACCCAGTGATCGATTTCCGGTCATCTTTTTCACTCCCAAGATCAGTATCAGCATAGGCCGCAAAGTGCAAATCTGTAGCCGCTGGTTTGTTCCACACAAGTCCATAGTCACGTGTGCCCTGAAGGTATCGCAACACCCTCTTTGCCATCACAAAATGCTCCTTCGTATACTTATTCAGATACTCCCCGAGCGCTCGCACCGCGTTCGCTATGTCGGGGCGAATACCTTGCACCAAGTACTGAAGGCCTCCTACCAACTCACGATAGGGTATACTCGGATCATTCACTCCAGCTTGATCATTATCAACTGGATTAAGTAGCTTGTGGAGTAGCCACCGGTCGACACGACTCCATACCGAACCGCTTTAACAGCTTATCGATGTTGCCTCTTTGAGAGATCCACAAAGCCTGACCCGGTACGTATGAGATCTCCATGTGCAGCAGATCCGTAACAGGACCTAAGTCCTTGATCTCGAACTGCGCACGCAGCCCTTGCACGACAAGCTCAATGTTCTCATCTGTGCCGGCGATGACCAAACCGTCCACGTACACCGACACAAATATGGGGCTGCCTCCCACTGTCCGTACGTAGAGACCTCCATCCATCTTTAATCGATGGAAGCCACATGACCTCAGGTGCTTGTCGAGCGTCTGGTACCATATCAATGGCGCCTGCTTCAGTCCATACAAGCTTCGCCGCAGCTTACAGACACGATCCGAGCCGTCATCGAAATATCCAGGCATCTCCATATAAATTTCAACATCATCATCGATCGGTCCATTAAGAAAGGCTGTAACAAAGTCCACATGGCGACAAGAGAGTCCATGGTGTAGCACTAGCAGCAGGATAAATTTCAGAGACTCTTGAGATACAATAGGAGCATACGTCTCCCAATAGTCGACTCCGTAGTGCTGCTGACAGCCCTTAATTGTGATCCTGGCTTGGTGACGCACAACGTTGCCATGCGCATCACGCTTCTGCACCAGCACCCACTTGCCAGTCAACACCTTATTGTCTTTGGGCCTCTCCACGAGCTCCCACGTATTGTTCCTCATGAGGTCACCGTACTCCTTCTCTAGGGCCTCGATCCACTTCTCGGCGTCCGGGCCAGAAAGAGCATCGTCCACCGTCTCGGGGTCCATCAATGAGTTGACCGTCTCAATCACCAAACTCATAGGAAGCTCCACTTCATAATCTCGGTAGCGAGAATTCGGCCATCGAGTACGCGTTGAACGCCTAAACGACTCAGCAGAGTCATTCATCTCAATATCATCTTCGCTCCCGCTGTCGCTAATCGCATCAGCAACTTCATCCAAAGAGCTAGCGGGATCACCAAACGCAATTGGTGCTTTATCCTCGAGATCATCAAGATCACCGTCAGCATCAACAAGATCATCGCCCGAAGTAACCTCAACTAGGCCACCTCGCCGTGTAACCTCACCATCCATCCCCCATTCCCCCACCGAAGGTGAGGTTCCTCGCGATTTCGTAGGAAGAGACTCAACCGTAGGTCCGCTGTTAGACGAACGCAGCTCTGGTTCTCCCTCACGATCATTAGCTTCGGTCCACGTCACATGCGGAGTGTTAATTCTACGCTGCAACGGCCGATCTCCTACCGCAGTAGAAGGAGGCACCTCGAACTCACTCAACGGCAACGCAGCAGGCGCACCCGCGCATGCCAGAGAAGATCTGACTTCAGTGTGAGTAGAAGCAGCATCGCCGTCGCAACGGCGGCGCTTAGTAGGACGCTCATGAAGGATTGACGTGTCAGACGTCGTAATAGACGACACAGGTAACCGCACAAATTGTATTACTCCAGGTAGTACTTGGCGTCCATTTTGGTATCTGTTCTTGAGCACACGCTCCACGTAGCTACGCCCAACAGTCCATCCCTCCTGGAACTCCACAGAACGAACTTCCTGTAGATTGCCAGTCACCAGACTCAAGCCCCGATAGCACTCAGAATGCTTGGCGTATCCCATGAACAATCCAGGTTTGCCAGGATTCTCCAGCTTCGACTTGCGCAGCTTCTTCGGTGTGAAGATGTAGACTAGACAACCCCTCGTGCGCAAATGAGACACATCCGGCCGGTCACCGAACCGCCGGAAGTAGGGTGTGCCTCCACCCTCCGCAGTTGTAGCACAAATATTGCCGACATCAACTGAAAATTGAAATGCTTCTCCCCACAAGAGGTCTGGCATATCTGCAGCGGCAGCAGACAGCGTACACAAGCAGCAACATTGTCATTCATTCTTTCCACCAGTCCATTCTCCTCTGGACTGTACGCATTGGTCCACGTGTACTCAATGCATGCTCGTGGAAATAGGCACCCAACTTATTGTTCAGCAGTTCACGTCCTTGATCCGAATTGAACAACTCAATATTATGCCCTTGAGCCAGAAGCCACTTCACATGATTCATCACCACCTCAGAAGCATCCTCCTTTCGCTTCATCAAGAAACCCCAAAGCCAACGCGTGGCCTCGTCCTGCACGATTGGAAGTGCTTATATCCGTCATACGTCACCATGCCCATGTGACACATGTCGGACATCAGCTTTTGGAAAGGCTTCTTAACCCTATTGTGGTTGGTGGTCCTAAAACCCGACGAGTCGTTATCTTTTTGTACGACATACGAGTCATCTGCGCTGCTTTGCAGCTCCAGCATGGCACATCAGTATCGTCACATAGTTTTTCATTCATTCCAGTCGTAACTTGCTGTCTGGCCATTTGCTGCAACGCAGGTAGATTGAGATGATTGAATCGGAGGTGCCAGCGCACAAGCGACGACGCATCATCTCTCCGATTCTGTTGGTTTACAGCTGGAACGCGATAAACAGCGCTAGCCGTAGTCTTCAAGCGGTAGCGACCATGAGACTTTACCAGCAGTCTTCAACGTCCATCCAGCTTTCTCCAGTGCATCAAGCCTCAACAGGTTGTCTGGAGCCGACGGCTTATAGAACATTCGTCTCGTTATCTGTGACCTTGCCATCGTAGCCCTGGAAGACATGCCTCGAGTCGTGCTGCAGTTCTGACAACTGCTCCTGTTGCTTGCAGACGTGCACATCACTCGCTGAATCTAATGCCCATCCAACAGTGTCCTCGCCAGCACTGGACACGGATCCAACTATCAATGCCTCGCGAAGAATGCAACCAACAGCACTGACCTTCCTCTTTTTGTTTTCACCATCGCTGCCAGGCCGCTTCTGCCATCGCTTCCGCTCGGAAATAGCAGTCTGAGTCCCAGCTATCTGGTCATCGGATGAGTCATTATCCCGATTCGGACAGTTCGGGCGAATGTGACCAGCTTCTCCACAGTGATAACAAGTACGTGTCTCTTGTTTACCACTTTTCTTGCCAGCTCGTATACCATCTTTCTGCTTTTTTGCCATGACCAGATCTTTTGCGCTTACTCTTGCCTGGATTTTGCTTTTTCTCCTTCGGTGGTTTAGTTTCCTTACCACACACAGCAATGCCAGCAGGCTTCAGGTCTTCTGTACCCATCTGCTCATCAAGGGCAGACTTAGCGCGCAAGGCATTCATTACCTGCGTGGCTGTCGGCACCGGTCTCCATCACCACGCACTACGTAATGCTTGGAGAACTGCCGGATCACATCTCGATGTGTCCGTGCCACATGCCCAAGAAGGGTCTCCGCACACGCTTGCCATAGTGCAACAACTGGCGTCGCATTGACTCCATTTCTCGCAGCCATTGCTCTATGCTCTTGTCCGCGGAGTACACATGCGAATAGAACTCAGCTCTAACGAAAATATAATTCGAGTGTTCACGCTTTGTATGCTTGTCAAGAAAACGTGTCCACATTGCTTGAGCTGTGTCCTCCTGACAGATCATCTCAGCGGGCAGCAACACCATACAAAATTGCCTCACGAGCAAGATTGTCCTTGGCAGCAAAGCTAGGATCACTCCGGTCAATAGAGCCATCAACCACAGCCCAGTAACTTCTGCTCGGCAGATCAGAGATCGTTGGTGTTGCTGCACGTTTGCCTCTTCAGTACGGGTCCGTATGGCGAATACAACTGAATGCGAGCCAGACTCCCGTCTTTTTGGGGCTCCTATAGAGTATGCGACTACAGTACAGCACAGTAAGCTTGAAGTATATATCGACAGACGAAGTTTACCGTAAGGACGCAACGTCTTATTTTATTAAAAATAAATGAGTTGGCCCAGGCTCCCAATCTATTAGAAGATTTCATTCTCACTTGTTAGAATTCCACGTTCACTCAACTTAACTACGAGTAATGATTAGCATATTCATCCCCCACGGTGATTAGTATGGTAGAGGCAGTGTTGGAGCATGGGAATCGTCCCGTTGATATACTTCCCCTCGAACTTATGGCCAATCTTTGTCGATCAAATAAGGAGGTAAGGCTGATGCTGTTTTTCACAGTTGATACCTACTCCATCGCTTGCATCGACGATACTTGAAGACTAGAGGAAGGAACATGCCTGTTTGCTTTATTAATACATGTAAATCGATATCGATCCGCAGTTGGATTGGGACTGCACTTGGAGTCGAAGTAAATGATACTTTGGCCGCTGTGGAATTCCCACGATCACACCAGATCGACTGTCATGACCCAATTTGAAGCGTGTTTCTTCATCTTCGCCATGTGCCTAATTTCCGTTTGCTGCTCCGAACCTTTGGCGTGAGCTACATCTCTAAAATCAAATCAATAAATGGAGCCATCCGGCCAAAATTCGTATTAGGTAGCACGAATACTACATTTTTGTCGGAGCGGCTTGGTTCTGAAGACACCTTCCGAATTTGCTGCTACTCCCTACATACCGAACCATAGGAAACATTATTGCTGTTTCCTGACAGAATAATGCACTTACAGCTGACGGTGTCGTGTTTTAAGTTGTGACCGACTGTTCCATGCGAAAATATTTTGGGCTTATGGGGTCAATCGTTCTGAAGTTGATCAAGTCAATAAATGCAGCTGTGTGCTTGGTATTTGACCTTGTTGACGAGTCACTACTTCCTTTATGTAAGTCCCCTAGCTCAACCCTGGTGCTTCCCAGACATCGAGTGTGCGCCTGCTTCGCGTTTCTTTTTTTTTTCTTCGTGGGCAACATCCATGCCTAACTTTTAACCCCTCCAGCCCGGCTGCTGCATAATGCTGGATTAGGATTTTCCTTAAACTGCATATATGCACTTTAAGCGATTTTTGACTTGAAGTTTGTATGGGGTGTATTTTCCCTCGCCACATGATATACAAACCTTAAGATTAAATTTTGTCGGGTTTCTGTTCGCGCCTTTCTTTTGCAACATAGGAAAGGACGGACAATTTCTCAAAATATGGGATCTAGCAGGTTCCCCGTACTGCAACTGATTTGCATATAATGCTAGAGGCTTTTGGGACAGTCGAAACGAGTGGTTTAGCAGTTTGCCGCTCGCCGCCTTTTGAAAACGGGCCTCATTCGAGAATTTGCGCGCGCGGGGCACACATCGACAGAGAAGCTGTGCGGGGAAGATCGCGCTTAACTGCTGTGATGATAGCTTGCGGGAGCAAGGCTAGGCACGGGCTGGACGACCACTATTTCTACCTGTGGTCTGGAGGCGACGCAAGCAGCACCAACGGCGTAGACGTATCTGTGGCGATGAATCGTTGGGTGAGTCCAACGCAATTCGTATGGTTGCAATGTTTTATGCTAACTAAAAAATCTCTCAGGCGGTTATATGATCTGTATGCAGTTCTCGACTCGGAACCCATACTACAGAACCAGTTTTTCACCTTCTTCGACTTTGCTACAGCTTCCTTCCCGGATTCGGCCCTGCTTCGGCTTGCGCAGCTAGTGATGCTCGTATCGCTGCCGCCGCCGACGTCAGTCGGATGAACTATGCGGCTGATACTGAGAGTACCCTGCTACTGCGGACGCAACCAAACTGATCATCATTCAAGTGCGGTTTCAGCGCTGGGCGAGTCGGGTAAGTTGAATGTTATCCTGCATGTACGTACTATACTGTGTTGTAAGCTGCATCTTATACTGAACATTTCTCTGAATATGCTGTGCAGGCCCCGTTGATGAAGCTAGCACAAGTTGATAGCAAACAACAACGACTGAGACTGGCGCGATCGACTTCGCTGAAGACATGGAGCCTTGCTGCGCTCCGGATGACGAAAATGATGGATCGCAGCTGGATTAAGTGTGCCAAGAACGTTTGAACACCACCGGGGGCAAAGATGAAGTGTTGGCGAGTAATTCCGTCCAAGTCTGCGCGGAGTGTCAACGAGGCGGAAAGACTTCTTATTTCACAAGATGGTTGGGTATGGTCAACGGAAATGAAGCTATACCGTTTAGCCTCTAAGTAACAGCGTATATCCACACTGAAAAACAATGTAATTTATCCTAGCATTCCATGAGTCGACTTAGTTCCTACAGCATACGTTCTTAGGCGAAGGGATTCCCGGTCGCGCCATGCTCGGGTAGCATGGCAGCTAGTGTTTTCACCTTGACAAAGTACCAAGTGCTAAAACGTAAAAGTCGCCTATGTGTTCATGACGGGTTGCAGGCGGGCATGACAAAGTGCGGCTGAAGACGTCTGGTCTTCTCTTCATGACGGCCCAGCGCCATGTACGAGATGCGGCTACGACCTATTGAGACGTGGCCCAAGTGATGCCTACATGATAAACTGATTGAAGGCAACACCATCCGAGCACAACGACGGTAGAGCTTTGCCTGACACTCCACGGATCTCTGCGTCGAGCAAAAGTTGTCGCACATTGCCAAAGTAATTAAGCTGCATATTATCCTGGTGTTAGGCTGTATAAAGACAGGATAATGCTGATTCCATGCGTGTTGTTTTTCAGTAAGCACTCTGTTTACCACTGTAGTGCAGCTTCAATCGCCTGTTTTCGCGCACGCCGATCTCAACCTGCATCATGTTCGTGCAGGCCGATCTTGACTTGCATCCTTCGACCTCAGTTTATGAGCAGTGTCTTGCTGCTAAACGTGTGTTCAAGCAGCTGTTGATGCTGGATGCTTGCTTCAATAGAAAATTGTATACAACAAAAAACGCTCAGAGGCGTATCCTTTGATCGCGTTACCAGCCCAATGTGATCGCGTTACCAGCTAGGGGTGACACCCCAACTCCGTATATGATAAAATGTATAGGAAGTTTGATTTTCCAAATTTTAGAAAACGAGAACAAGGTGCACCGGTGGGCGCATGTTCTGTTCAGCCACTGCCCTGTCCATTTCCTTGGTAACCGGTATTATGCAGCTTAGCTCTGTGACTTTGGCTAACAACATGCAGTATACGGCAGTTTTAGCACCGCTCTACACACTTTTGCAAATCTCAGCCTTTCGCTTGCCGCTAACCCGATCCCTTTATATACAAACGTCAAGTCTAATTATGCTGCATACTGCATATGAAAAAAGTTTTGAGGCTCCGGTCTGGAGGGGTTAACCCTGAAGCTCTGCAGGAGCGCTCACCTCTGCATCTCCTTCTTCCACACTTTTCTTCTTTTCGTCGAGAACTGCGAATCTCTGGGCCTCATTGCCCGGGTCCCCAATTTTTTTTCTCTCTGCGACCTGAAATCGATTTGAAATTCAGTGACTCCCCGCCTTAGACTGCTCGGCCAATTGGCCACCATACGCAGTAAAACCTATTGACACTTTTTGCAGGTTGACAGGTTTGACTATACTTAAGTTTAAAATAAAACCTAATAATTAAACCCGTTGTGCCAGGAAGACCATTAGCTTTATCGTTGTCCAGCGGTATATGTAGTTGGCTCAACCTCGGGGGGGCCTTCAATATAACGTCACTTGCGTGGGCCGAGAGCATTGCAGAAGACAGAGAAGATAGCAACCACACGATCCTGTCGTACGGCCAAGTTGCGACACCAGCAGACTTGGTTGCAGATGCACGGGGGTGGCTGTCGCTGCGACTGCCCGCACTGGCACGCTAACGCTGTCTTGGAGACGCTGTGACGTTAAACCGGCGCAGGAAATTCATCGCGAGCGTCCGCCAGGACTTCGTGCAGGTCGACAACCAGCGGGTCTGGGAACTGAGCAGGCAGCGCGTCACCTGGTTGCAACCCCAACAACAAGCGCGAATCAAACTCGAGGTTGCTGTTCGGGGGAAGCCACAGGACGCGGGTCTTGCACGGGGAGTCTGTCGCCACGGTGCTCGACCCGATAGAGCTTGTAGCTGGCGGTCGCCAACCCTTTGTCCAAGGCCACACAAAGGATGTACGCCACGCCCGGAAATGTGGCCCACTCGTTGGCCTTCCAGTCTAGCTGACCAGGCTCGTTCCCCCAGTGGCGCGTGAAGCCAACCTCCACTTTGAGCGTGTGCCAGCCCACCCACTCCATCCCAGCAGGCAGCGCTCCTCCCGCACCAAAGTGCTCGCGTTCGCGCGATGGCAGCTCCACGATGAAGATTTCTCGGTCGATCCACTCCATGTGGCTCGACTTGAGCTCCTGTCCATCGCTCCCCAGATAAGCGATCCACTCGGCTTCCGTGGCTTTGCACGCTGGGACGGCTTGGCCTCACGAGGTCTGCATCACTTGGTCCCAGTCCAGCTCCGTAGTATTCCTGTTTATCATGGCGACGGCCATTGTTCCTTAGCCAAGGATTTCGTTGTAGTCGTTAGGTATAATGGTCGATATCTTTCACTCAAGTATATTTGCCGAAACACATTTTTTTGGATCGATAACCATAACCAAAACTAAACTAGCAATGTTTCGCCAAAGCCTAAAAACGAAGTATAAGCTGCTGGCGCTCGGGCAGCCCGAGGCAGCGCGGGTGCTGCGGTGAGTAAACAAAACCTTTGATATATTCGCTTCGAGCCCCATCAAGCGATCCGACCTGCTACGGTCAACCGATTTCTAGTCTTGGTCGGCCGTGATATCCATTTAAGACGCTTTCTAAATCGAATATCACTGTCGAGCCCTTACAGTTCGACCCTCTGGTTTGTTGTTCTTCCGCGTTTCTCCTGCGAACAGCCCCAATTTGTACCTGGACAACTCGCGTGCTGAAGCTAGTGGAATCGGGTCAGCTTTCCAAATATCCTATCGAGCGGCCATCTGCTAATGAAGCTTATGATTGAATGTGTCCCTGTAAACGACCCTGCTCGCGGGCTAAAAGCCAATCTTGGTTTTTTGGGGTAGTATCATCGTCGTCTCCGTTGCGACTACACCTTTGCTAATCCAAGTTGGCAGCAGTGTAAAGCAAAACGGTGTGAAGTAACTTAAGTAACATCCAAAAATCGGAAAATAATTTCTGAAATTAGTATTTAGAGCAATGTGGATTTAGTGCAGAGCAAACTCAAATCACTGGTCAGTAACAGACTGTCTCCGCCAGCAACATGCCCCAAGAGCCGAAGCATGGGCTTGCGGCCCGCACGCGTGTGCTCGATGCACACCGAGAAGGGCGTGACTGGGTGCTGGTTGCCGACTGCAACGGCATCCCTCCCACTACTGCCCGCAACATCGTCCAGCGCCAAGCCGCTGATGTCAAGAAGAGAGGCGGCGCGCGGGCGGCGTGCACAAAGTGTACTCCAGAAATGGAGGAAGCTCTCGTGGGCTACCTGGAAGACAACTGCCAGTACACACTCGTGCAGATGCAGGAAATGCTTGCGTTCGACTTCAGGGTGCACATCAGCACTTCGTTGATCAGTAAGAAGCTTTGCGATAAGCTTTACACTGTTAAGCAGGTACGCCTTCAAGTTATTATGCTATCACTTTTACCATCTCTACTGTACTAAGTATGTTCCCTGTGATAGGTTCGCGTAGAGCCCGAGACCTGCAATAATGCTGTAAATATCGAGAAGAGGAGGGTGTTTGGTGAAGCGTTGCTGAAGCATGAGCGGAACGGTGCTTTTATCGTGTATTATGACGAGACCAACTACTACTGTACAACCTGTACTGTAAGCGGACGCAAGGTCTGTCGCCGCTGCTATTCGTAGCGAGCTCATGGAGTATGGAACGTAGATGTTTGCTGTGGACTAAATCCACATTGGTCTGTACTAATCCTCGAAAATAACTTTTTGAAAAAAATATTTTTCGTATTTACGGGACTCTCGTTTAAGGCCCGGACATTTCAAGGGACATTTTTCAAGTGCGCTGCCTCTAGTAAAGGGGGCAAAATGCGCACACAGATAAATCAGTCCAATTTACGAGCCGAGATGCAGCAACACTCGAGACTACATAATACAATATTAACCAATGAAATTGCTACATTTGATTTGTCGTCAAACTGTCTTACTAATGCTCGACACAAGTGATTCATGCTCTTTCGTAAGACGATACTTAGCCCCACAATGCCTATCATAAGACAAAGCGTCTTACGTTTTCCGATCAACGCGTTTTGACTACATCTTGGTTTTTGTATACCAGTGGCTACATTGCATATTGTCTGTCAAAACATAAGACAGTTTGTCGGACACTAGTTTGCGCCATACAATTGGCCAAAAGTGTTCAGGTAACAGCGGCATCGTTGCCGCGGACGCGGTGGCAACGTTGAGCGCCGAAACGATGCAGTTGCATGGTGCGGTAGGGTAAGTAGCCTCTTGTTCACACACGAAGCGATGTGCCTGTAGTTGGCCGCTGGCAGCAAGCTTAAATATCGGCATAATGACTGCACGAACGCGTGCATGCAGTCCGTGGAGCTGTTCCACTCAGAGGTGCAGCCGTTGTAGGGCACGGAGTTACGAAGAAGTTGGCAAACGTAAACTAAGAGGGACAAATAGCTCGTAACGGTACTACATGTACATTTTAATGTAGTAAATTTTATGCTTGAGCGTACATCATAGTAGTTGTGAAGGCGTGGCAGCCAGGGAACGGTGTTGCCAGTGGGCTTCCCGAGATCTTTCAACCCCCTCTTACCTAATCATTACAGTCCAGCAACAAAATGCAACCACGTACTCTGCAACGGCGATAATACCTAGATTTTATACCTACGACGCTGAGGTGCGGAGGAGCTCCACACTGCTGCGCGGGCGCTCGGCGCGCGCCATATCGCTGCTGGGCTCGACCTTCGGCATCGGCGAGTTACTCGGTATCTCCTGCAACTAAGCCACTGCCTGCAGCCATGCTTTTTGTCGATGCTACAGCGTAGACTGGTTTGCGTATGCGCGCTCTATCCGAATCTCCATCTTCTATGTAGTGTTAGTACTTTACTGTAGAAAGGAGAGTTGGCGTGGTGGGGTGAACGACTGTTGTCGTTCACCAGTAAAGCGAAGAAACATTGCTCCACTACGGGAACAAACGGTCGCATGATAACTGTGCTATGATGTCCTTACATTCCATTCCTGGCAAGTATATTTAAATCTTCTAGCAGGAGGTTAGTGCATGGCGTCAGGATCAAAAGCCCGGACATTTCAAGGGACATTTTTCAAGTGCGCTGCCTCTAGTAAAGGGGGCAAAATGTGCACACAGATAAATCAGTCCAATTTACGAGCCGAGATGCAGCAACACTCGAGACTACATAATACAATATTAACCAATGAAATTGCTACATTTGATTTGTCGTCAAACTGTCTTACTAATGCTCGACACAAGTGATTCATGCTCTTTCGTAAGACGATACTTAGCCCCACAATGCCTATCATAAGACAAAGCGTCTTACGTTTTCCGATCAACGCGTTTTGACTACATCTTGGTTTTTGTATACCAGTGGCTACATTGCATATTGTCTGTCAAAACATAAGACAGTTTGTCGGACACTAGTTTGCGCCATACAATTGGCCAAAAGTGTTCAGGTCACAGCGGCATCGTTGCCGCGGACGCGGTGGCAACGTTGAGCGCCGAAACGATGCAGTTGCATGGTGCGGTAGGGTAAGTAGCCTCTTGTTCACACACGAAGCGATGTGCCTGTAGTTGGCCGCTGGCATCAAGCTTAAATATCGGCATAATGACTGCACGAACGCGTGCATGCAGTCCGTGGAGCTGTTCCACTCAGAGGTGCAGCCGTTGTAGGGCACGGAGTTACGACGAAGTTGGCAAACGTAAACTAAGAGGGACAAATAGCTCGTAACGGTACTACATGTACATTTTAATGTAGTAAATTTTATGCTTGAGCGTACATCATAGTAGTTGTGAAGGCGTGGCAGCCAGGGAACGGTGTTGCCAGTGGGCTTCCCGAGATCTTTCAACCCCCTCTTACCTAATCATTACAGTCCAGCAACAAAATGCAACCACGTACTCTGCAACGGCGATAATACCTAGATATTGTACCTACGACGCTGAGGTGCGGAGGAGCTCCACACTGCTGCGCGGGCGCTCGGCGCGCGCCATATCGCTGCTGGGCTCGACCTTCGGCATCGGCGAGTTACTCGGTATCTCCTGCAACTAAGCCACTGCCTGCAGCCATGCTTTTTGTCGATGCTACAGCGTAGACTGGTTTGCGTATGCGCGCTCTATCCGAATCTCCATCTTCTATGTAGTGTTAGTACTTTACTGTAGAAAGGAGAGTTGGCGTGGTGGGGTGAACGACTGTTGTCGTTCACCAGTAAAGCGAAGAAACATTGCTCCACTACGGGAACAAACGGTCGCATGATAACTGTGCTATGATGTCCTTACATTCCATTCCTGGCAAGTATATTTAAATCTTCTAGCAGGAGGTTAGTGCATGGCGTCAGGATCAAAGGCCCGGACATTTCAAGGGACATTTTTCAAGTGCGCTGCCTCTAGTAAAGGGGGCAAAATGTGCACACAGATAAATCAGTCCAATTTACGAGCCGAGATGCAGCAACACTCGAGACTACATAATACAATATTAACCAATGAAATTGCTACATTTGATTTGTCGTCAAACTGTCTTACTAATGCTCGACACAAGTGATTCATGCTCTTTCGTAAGACGATACTTAGCCCCACAATGCCTATCATAAGACAAAGCGTCTTACGTTTTCCGATCAACGCGTTTTGACTACATCTTGGTTTTTGTATACCAGTGGCTACATTGCATATTGTCTGTCAAAACATAAGACAGTTTGTCGGACACTAGTTTGCGCCATACAATTGGCCAAAAGTGTTCAGGTCACAGCGGCATCGTTGGTGCGGACGCGGTGGCAACGTTGAGCGCCGAAACGATGCAGTTGCATGGTGCGGTAGGGTAAGTAGCCTCTTGTTCACACACGAAGCGATGTGCCTGTAGTTGGCCGCTGGCAGCAAGCTTAAATATCGGCATAATGACTGCACGAACGCGTGCATGCAGTCCGTGGAGCTGTTCCACTCAGAGGTGCAGCCGTTGTAGGGCACGGAGTTACGACGAAGTTGGCAAACGTAAACTAAGAGGGACAAATACCTCGTAACGGTACTACATGTACATTTTAATGTAGTAAATTTTATGCTTGAGCGTACATCATAGTAGTTGTGAAGGCGAGGCAGCCAGGGAACGGTGTTGCCAGTGGGCTTCCCGAGATCCTCCGACCCCCTCTTACCTAATCATTACAGTCCAGCAACAAAATGCAACCACGTACTCTGCAACGGCGATAACACCTAGATATTGTACCTACGACGCTGAGGTGCGGAGGAGCTCCACACTGCTGCGCGGGCGCTCGGCGCGCGCCATATCGCTGCTGGGCTCGACCTTCGGCATCGGCGAGTTACTCGGTATCTCCTGCAACTAAGCCACTGCCTGCAGCCATGCTTTTTGTCGATGCTACAGCGTAGACTGGTTTGCGTATGCGCGCTCTATCCGAATCTCCATCTTCTATGTAGTGTTAGTACTTTACTGTAGAAAGGAGAGTTGGCGTGGTGGGGTGAACGACAACAGTCGTTCACCAGTAAAGCGAAGAAACATTGCTCCACTACGGGAACAAACGGTCGCATGATAACTGTGCTATGATGTCCTTACATTCCATTCCTGGCAAGTATATTTAAATCTTCTAGCAGGAGGTTAGTGCATGGCGTCAGGATCAAAAGCCCGGACATTTCAAGGGACATTTTTCAAGTGCGCTGCCTCTAGTAAAGGGGGCAAAATGTGCACACAGATAAATCAGTCCAATTTACGAGCCGAGATGCAGCAACACTCGAGACTACATAATACAATATTAACCAATGAAATTGCTACATTTGATTTGTCGTCAAACTGTCTTACTAATGCTCGACACAAGTGATTCATGCTCTTTCGTAAGACGATACTTAGCCCCACAATGCCTATCATAAGACAAAGCGTCTTACGTTTTCCGATCAACGCGTTTTGACTACATCTTGGTTTTTGTATACCAGTGGCTACATTGCATATTGTCTGTCAAAACATAAGACAGTTTGTCGGACACTAGTTTGCGCCATACAATTGGCCAAAAGTGTTCAGGTCACAGCGGCATCGTTGCCGCGGACGCGGTGGCAACGTTGAGCGCCGAAACGATGCAGTTGCATGGTGCGGTAGGGTAAGTAGCCTCTTGTTCACACACGAAGCGATGTGCCTGTAGTTGGCCGCTGGCAGCAAGCTTAAATATCGGCATAATGACTGCACGAACGCGTGCATGCAGTCCGTGGAGCTGTTCCACTCAGAGGTGCAGCCGTTGTAGGGCACGGAGTTACGACGAAGTTGGCAAACGTAAACTAAGAGGGACAAATAGCTCGTAACGGTACTACATGTACATTTTAATGTAGTAAATTTTATGCTTGAGCGTACATCATAGTAGTTGTGAAGGCGTGGCAGCCAGGGAACGGTGTTGCCAGTGGGCTTCCCGAGATCTTTCAACCCCCTCTTACCTAATCATTACAGTCCAGCAACAAAATGCAACCACGTACTCTGCAACGGCGATAACACCTAGATATTGTACCTACGACGCTGAGGTGCGGAGGAGCTCCACACTGCTGCGCGGGCGCTCGGCGCGCGCCATATCGCTGCTGGGCTCGACCTTCGGCATCGGCGAGTTACTCGGTATCTCCTGCAACTAAGCCACTGCCTGCAGCCATGCTTTTTGTCGATGCTACAGCGTAGACTGGTTTGCGTATGCGCGCTCTATCCGAATCTCCATCTTCTATGTAGTGTTAGTACTTTACTGTAGAAAGGAGAGTTGGCGTGGTGGGGTGAACGACAACAGTCGTTCACCAGTAAAGCGAAGAAACATTGCTCCACTACGGGAACAAACGGTCGCATGATAACTGTGCTATGATGTCCTTACATTTCATTCCTGGCAAGTATATTTAAATCTTCTAGCAGGAGGTTAGTGCATGGCGTCAGGATCAAAAGCCCGGACATTTTTCAAGTGCGCTGCCTCTAGTAAAGGGGGCAAAATGACCACACAGATAAATCAGTCCAATTTACGAGCCGAGATGCAGCAACACTCGAGACTACATAATACAATATAACCAATGAAAT